CCTGGAGTACTGCGGCCTCCCGTGGCTCATGGACCGGACTAGAAACCGCCACAGAGGGACAGCGCCATTCTGACATTCTGTGGCCAAACATTTGACCTTGGAGTGAGTTGAGCTCCAAGGAAATCGCACTTCCGGTCTTCCACAGGAGGATAGTCAATAGTTGGTCATTCAACATCTGACCAGCATGGGTTTCAGCCCTCACTACGTGGATGGCAGGAACCAGGAACTCCGTGCCAGCTTCTCAATAGGCAACACGGCTCAGCAGGAAATGTGTGAGAGCATTGCCACCATCACAGGAAATCAAAGGCCAGATGTGGACTTGGGTTCCGCTCACAGGCCTTAGTGGTGGTGCAGAGGAGAGCAACAAGGACGATCCCTATTGTTAGAGGAATGAGGTATGAGCAGCGATGAGATAAGCTCGGGCTCTTCAGTCTTGAGAGAAGATGACTCCGAGGGAAATTTGTAGAAATGGTTTAAATGGGATTGAAAAGTAAACCCAGATCATTCCTTTCAAATGCACCAAGTCAGTAGAACAAGAGGACACGATTGCAAGAATTGAATAATGTGACACCAGGAAGTTTTTCTTTCCCCAGAAAGGAATCAATTCCTGGAACAGGTTGCATTGCAATGCTTGAGGCATTTTTCGAGGCGAGGACACTGGCCTAGTGTATTGGAAAAGAGAAGGGAGTTTCTCTCTGTTCCTGGCCAACACTCCACCAAATAACTTTGATTGCTCACTCCACGACTGTTTGTGGGACATTGCTGTGCGCAACTGGCATTTTACCCACAAAATACACAGCCACTGCACTTTACAGTATATCCTGTGAAGTACTTTGAGACGTCTTGGAGACATGATAAGGAGCTATATTTGTTAGGCCTCCTCCGGTTCCTATGTTTCTGCATGAAATGCAAGGATTATTATTATTATTAACTGTCATTCACTCCAGTGACCCAGTGTTTCTGGGCAGTCAGACCCGGTGTTGTGGTTGGGTCCCCACTTGGTGCTGAGTGACTAATCTTGGTGTTTGGGGCTACCATTGGACCCAGCGTCTTCTGGGCAAATGTTCCCGTGACGACGCAGTGGGAGAGAGAGAGAGTAACTCTCACAGCGAGGCTCGATAGTAAGAAAATGCGATAACTGGAGGGGAGATGGTGTGTGAGAATGGTTGCGTGGGAGATAGTGTTGCATTCACCTGTGTGTAGCTACCGACCGCTCCCTATCCTTTTGCTCTTTAGTTTGTTCCTGGTTCCTGGTTTGTTTGGAAAGTCTCTCCTGGGATGTGGTGCAGAGATTACTGCACACAGAACTCTGCACCTTCCACCAAGTTTGCCTCCACCCACACCCCCGTGGTGATCTTTTTTAAAGGGCAGCATTTATCTGGCTGCAAAACGGAGAGATTTACTCTGTGCTGGCTCAGTACTAACATACTAATGAGACAGCCTTTGTGTAGGAAGGCAGTGAGAAGGGTTTTGTGTCTGAACACCCCAAATAGGTTTTGAGAGAGATGTCGTTCAGCAAAACTGATTAGCAACAACGCATTCCAGAGCTCTGGCAAGGAAGGGCAGGTTGAAAATGGTCGGTAATTCTGTGAGGTTGGAGGGCTCAAGTTTGGATTTTTTGAGGAGGGGAATGACGACGGCGCTTTTAAGGGGGAGAGGAACAGAAGCTGAGGAGAGCAACTGTTTGACTCTCAGCCAGCAGCTGGGAGGGGAGGGGGAATTGGGTGACCAGCAGTTGGGTGGGGAGGGGTTCGAGGTAGCAGGTGGTGGGCTTTATCTGGGATATAGTAGTTGCAAGGGAGGTGGGATTAATTGGGGCAAAGGAGTGTAAGGAGGGGTTGGGAGTAAAAGGCAGTTTGGGCTTGCGAGAGGGAGAGGATTGACTGGGGGAGGTGGGAGAGTTTGGAAGGTTAAGGATGTGGATGAGGGAAGGGGTGTGTGCCTTTCAGAGTTGGGGTTGGTGGCTGTGTTGGGGAGAGTGGGCAATGGGGAAGTTGGGGTGGTTGTTGAGAGACCATCGCCGAGAGACATGATGGGCCAAATGGAGGATACTAGAACAGAGAGAGGCAGTGATGGGGTCCAGGAGAGAGAGAGAAGGCAAGGAGGGAGTAGTGGAGTGTGGGGAGTAGAAAGGGGAGCATTTTCAGTGGCGGTGTTGGCTCAAGTCGGGCAGAAGCAAAAACTGGCATGTGGAGAGCAAGAGCAACTTATTCAGCAGGACATGGTCAGCCTGCAGGCATGACGGGGGCGAGGGGAGACAGCACAGAGGGGAGAAAAGGGGGATGGTCCTCATGGCTTTCTTTGGCCCAAAGCTGGAGAGGGAGGGGATAGTGGATGGCGGGGAAAAGGAGGAGGACAGGGAAGAGGTGAATAGAAATGACAAAAGAATACTTAGCCTGTGCAGGGATTTGAAAACGGCACATGGAAGTACGAATACAGTCACTACACTGGCCTCCAATTCTCCCCGCCGCCCCACACACACTTTTTAGCTCTACTTTGGAGATTGGATCGAATACTTGATTTAACCCAGGTTTGCCCTGTAATAACACATCTCACTTCCCCCTCTTTACCGGGCAGGTGAAAAGGAACCAAATTATATGGAATTCAGCCATTTCACAAAAAGTCAACTTCTGGCTCATCGGAAAACATAAGAACATAAGAAATTCTAGACGAGAAAAGACCAAGGTCCATCTAGTTCACCTTCCATCTTCCTGGTGGTCGCTTGCACATATGTCCCAAACTCCCTACGTAATATATCCCATAATCTAATCTGTGTTTGAAAGAATCAGTACTCCCTGCTTCAACCGTCTCCCTCGGGAACCTGCTCCACAGGTTCACAATCTTTTGCACGTGTGCAGAAACCATGAAGTGGCGTTGGTGGTGACTGTTGAGCAGGAAGTCTGGGAGATTTTTCCAGAGCAGGAACAGACTGGTGTTGTGCCTTACTGTAACGCGAATTGGGATTTTATTGATTACAAACAGGGGGTTACGGTGGGCCTGCGTTGGGTTGTTGAAGGTTGTCGCCCTTCCTACCTCTGCCCTCCAACTCGGGTGCAATTCCCTGACTGTCCTCCTGATGTGAAAGGTGCCGTGTAAATATAAATTTGTAGTGGATACGACCAACCAAGTAGCACAATACGGCTGGTGGGTCCTGCACTGTGGGGTTTGGACAGGACCAGATATTTGAGATGGTATTTTGCTGTGGGGAGACACCACAATGGGTTTAACAACACTTTGTGGGTCATTGAAGTGAATGCCAGATTAATTGGAAAGGCTGTGATTTCCTTGTGGTTTGGACCAGTGACAAATTGTGATGGGCCTGTGCTGAGCAGAGAGTAGGGTCTCTCTTTTTCTCTCCATGGTTTATTTGAGCTTCTTCTGTTGTAACCTAACTGAAGTTTACAAGATGGTGTCTTTTATTCCGACGCTCACTGTGAACTGGAATTGCATCCAAGGCATGTTCTCTTATCATCATGTGTGCACTGAGCGTGTAATCACGTGTAAGGCGCTGTGTAATTGCTTCTTGTGTGTGCAGTTGTGTGTCAGCCTGGTGCTCCACTCCACTACCACTGCACCAGACTGACACACAACTGCACACACAAGAAGCAATTAGGGATTCAATTAGGGTGGGTGGGGGTGTGTGTGTGAGAATGGATGTACAGTGACCATAAGTCCTGTTACCCCCTGTTACAAAACAGTGATATGAGACCACGGAGGAATTGAAACAAGCTGTCACAGATGCCTTTGGCCTCCTCACTCCATCCATGTTACTGAACATGGTGACGGATTATTATCTGCCGTTAAAATGATGGCTCTCACATCCACCATCCCTCTGAACGTCTAAATACGTTTCTCCCACAGAATATACAATCAATCCACTTTACAACATATTCTGTGAAGCCCTTAGAGACGTCTCAATGATGTGATAAGGTGCTATATCAGTTGCAAGGATTATTTTTGTTATTAATAACCAACATTTAACAAAGAGCCAACATTTGCAGTAAGTGGGTGATTTACTGAACGGATACGATAGGGGAAAGAGAGCACTCACTCTGACAAAATACATGACGTATCTGGAGGTTTGGTTTATCAAATAACGTGTGCGATTGAGTCTGTGTGTAAGTGTGTGGTTTGTGTGCGAGTGTGTAAGTCTGTGAATTCAGTAGCGCCCTAACTGCCTTCACGACCGAGCTATGTATCAAGATCCTCATATTCATCTACAAATCTGTTCACAACAACAAGATTACATGTGTATAGCACCTTTCACGTCGGGAGGACATCCCAAGGCGCTGGACAGAGACAGCATTTCAGATCCGAGCTGGGGTCAGGGAAAGGGAGGGGAGGGGAAGGGGATGGCCGATGGCATGGTCGAAGAGGAGGGTCTTGAGGCGGGACTTGAAGGAGGCTAAGGAGGGGGTGAGGCAGAGTGACTGGGGGATGGAATTCCAGAGGTTGGGGGCAGAGTGGCTGAAGGCTCTCCCGCCAATGGTGGGGTGGGTGGGTCAGGGGACGTGGAGCAGTCGGAGCCGCCTGAGTGGAGGGAACAGGCGGGTTGGTTGGTAGGATTCACACCCTGGGACCTCAAAATAATAAATAATAATAATTTGGTTGCTCAATCCATGATTGTTTGTGGGACACTGCTGTGCACAATTGGCTGCCACGTTTCGCAAACAAAACGTACAGTCACCACACATTGCAGTGCATTCTGTCAGACGCTTTGAGACGTCTCAATGACATGATAAGGTGCTGTATCAAATGCAAGGATTATAACAGTGCTTTCTCCGTCCCAATTCTCTCTACTGTAATCCCATTCCCTACTCTCACCCATCATTAGAACATAGGAACAGCTCCTCGAGCCTATTCTGCCATTCTATTAGATCATGGCTGATCTGTACTTCAACTCCAATTACCCACCCAGCCCCATATCCCTTGATACACTTGTAGTGAATACAGTGAACCTGCTCACCTCGGTACACGTTTTCTCTCCACAGGATCCTGCCGGCATCTTCGAACTGGTGGAACTGGTCGGGAATGGGACATACGGACAGGTTTATAAGGTAACAGACTCCCTCCCCCCGGATTGTGTTTCTGAATCACATCTGGTTCATTGCTGGACCTGCTGTGCACTGTATGAATTCCCTGCATAGCCTCTGAGATACAGCAGACAATACAACAACAAAATGACATTTGTAAAGCGCCTTTCACGTCGGGAGGACGTCCCAAGGTGCTGGACAGACAGAGTTACGTACCCGAGATGGGTGGGGGAGGGTGGAGAGCAGGGGAGGAAGCGGAGAGATCGAAAGCACGGTTGAAGAGGAGAGTCTTGAGATGGATCTTGAAGGTGGCAAGGGAGGGCACGAGGCAGAGGGACTGCGGGATGGAGTTCCAGGGGGCAGAGTGGCAGATGTCCTGCCCCCAGTGGGGCGAGGGAGGCGGGGGATGTGAAGCAGGCCAGAGCTTGCTGAGCGGTGGGAGCGAGCGGGATGGTGGGGGTTAGGAGGACATAGAGGTCGGGGGGACCATGGAGGGCTTTGAAGGTGAGGACCAGGATCTTGAACTGTTATCTTCTGTGTGATGGGAAGGCGGTGAAGTTGGGCAAGATTGAGAGAGCAAACCCAGAACAATAGATGCACCAGTACAAGAGACTTATGTTCTGGGGAGTCTTACATTGTCAGTGTTGCCATCTTTCGGTTAAGACGTTAAACTGAGCTTCCCATCGTTGCTTGTTCAGGTGAATGTTAAAGATCCCACAAAAAGAGAAGAAAGTTTCTCTCTCCAAGTGTCCTGGACAACAATCACGTTCACTTCATGGCTGACTGTGGGATTTTGATAAGAGCAAATAAGTTGCTGTGTTTGGCTGCAAAATATACAGTCACTACACTTCAAGGAGCCTTGGTGAAGTGCTTTAAGGTGTAACTGACACACTGGGTGCTCTGTGTAATGTGACCTTGATGTTTTTTTGATTTTGCTTACCACACATTCATCAACATTGGGTTTAAAATTTTTCTAAAGTGTCACTATACTCGGGTAAGCTGAGGTGCCTCACACCCACTCCCACCCTGTACTGGAGGAAGTGGGGAGGGGGCTGGTTCCAAGTGAGGGAGGGGAGATAATAGGCGTGGTTAATGGGGTAGATTTAAGGTGGGATGGAAAGACTGATAGAGGGAGGATGTGGTGCACAGTTAGATGGGTGAATAACGGACTGTGAGAGTTGTGTGGGCGAGGAAAGTGGTGAGAGATTGCAGTTGTGGATAATGCTCTGTAGTTAATTAGACTAAGGAGTGAGGGCAATGGCCTACGTGATTGTAAACCTGGGGATTATGCAAATACCTCTTAACCCTTTTCCCAACGCTAAGCTATATTTAGACTGTATGGTATTGGCTGTCATACATCTCTGCTGCTGAACGCTGCTCCTCTGTCATACCACCCTCAGCCCACACGATGAGAGGCAGCTGCAGTGATCTGAGCCTGGCTCAGCCCCTCGTGGTCTCACCTCTAGGATCAGCATGTCATGAGTTTATCCAGGCTGATGCTTTGGCGCAATGCTGGGGGGAGCATTAGTAATTGCTGGAGGCTCGTTGCTTTCGATGATTCGTTAAACCATCTGTTCCCTGTTCAGGTGATATGGAGGTTACCCACTCGCCTCGCAAGCAAGAGGACCCGGGTTCGATTCCCGGGGAGGGCATGAGCATTGTCTCATCGTTTTCAAGAGGATAAGGAAGCTGTTAGGGTTGAATTAAAGTTCTCTGTGGTTTTGTAGTTTAGGACTTTGGCCTTGAGGTGGAGAACATGCTGAATTGCAGGGTTCAGGCCTCCCTTTCTGAGCTGCCAGGAGCGTATTCCTCAGCTCCTGCTTATACACTGTCACTTTTCTGGCTTGCAATCCAGAAATTCCTGGCATATTTTTGTGGTGGGGGGAAGAGGAGAGTGAATTGGTGGGCACTGTTGCTGCCTGTTTATAGAATCCTCTCTGGTGTGAGTGTGAGTGAAGCTGGAGACAGTTCGACAGAGGCAGACAGACACATCGGTGTGCGTGTGTATATTGCTGGGGGGTGGGCAGCAGAGAGAGAGAGTGGGGGGGGATTCACACTAGAGAGAAAATCTTAGTGAAGGATGTCAAGTTCTGTCGTGGTTAGAGCACTCAGCTGGCAAACAAGAGGACCCGGGTTCGACAGAGAGAAACCAAAGGCAAGTTTCCTTACTGCACACGCCTCTGTTTAACTAGCAGTAAATAAGGAAACCGGTTGTTAGTTGATTGGTGGATCGTTTTCTGGGAGCAATAATCACTTAAAAAAAAGTCACTCAATCCACGACTGCTTGTGGGATACTGCGGTATACTATTTGAGACCCTTTATCAAATGCAAGGATTATTATTACTATAAGGTTATGAGACCCTATGATAAATAATAATAAGTGGGAGTAAAACTGGAACTGCAGTTGTCGTTGGAGAACAAAGCATCAGACCCAAATCATTTCACCAACTGAGGGGGGAACCGGTTAAAGGAAGAAAAACAGAGAACAAAACTTTGCAAAATGTTGCCCAAACTAGAGGAGGGTTTGAAGGTTCAGATTGATGCCTGGGAGCAGGCAAATGGCTCCCAGTTTCAAGTCAATGGACAGAATTTTTTAGTTTATGTGGAAGAGTAATGGGAACTACATAGATTGGAGAAAGAGAAGGAGAAATAGGATTGGCAACTAACGAAAAACAAGTAGATTGAGGAGGAGATTTCATATGGACGATTCTTCCAAAACTCCAAGCAAGCATAGATTTACTGGACCAAACACTCCAGGAAAAGTCCGCAAGCTAAATGGCCCATCGATTTACACCCCCAACAGAACCCTTTGCTCCACATTTGCTGTTAGTGCCTGTCACTCACCTATATCCCGACCCTCCCCCCGGCTGCCTGGATGCAAGCCAGGACAATCCCCGTACATCTGGATGTTCAGCTACAAAAAAACACGCTTTGAATGAATGGAACAAAAAAGAATGTGTTCCACCTAAATGAGATTAGGATAGCAATCAGTGGTGCATCGACCAGTATCACCATCTCAGGATAAATTCAGTTGCCATCACTTATTCTGAATTTGAGCAAGAACTTTCCAAATCTAGCTGTCAGTTATGAATTCTGAACTCCACAACCAGCAACCTGCACACTTGAACCAGCACCAAATACCCTGAAGGGAGCTAGACTGTTCAGAAACTAGGAGAGACAAGGCTCTCAAATGCACAAAATGAAGTCCGTTTGTGTATCCGTGTGTATATATATGTGTATGAAGTTCAATAGAGCTGGGCTTTGGAAAAATAATATTTTGAATTGTAAATTATGGATTATATGGACAGTACCACAGAAAAGAGGAAATTGAATAGGGCGATTTAAAGGTTGACTGTTTATCCTCGCTATGCACAATGCAGGCCACACAGAAATCTGATTTGCCAGAATGGGGATTTGGTACCAGTGGGTTTGAAAACAAAAGTGATGTGGCTGACTTGCAGAGATTGTTTAATATCAATGTTTCCAATTATCCTTCATTATATGGACTTGTCACGGTACAAAGTATTAAATTCAAAAGTGAGTGCCTCTGTACCTCTCTTATCCAACTGAAAGACCTGACACTGTTAACATTCCAGATATTTAGACCTGTAGCTCAGTGGTTACAGCACTTGCCTTGCAAGCAAGAGACCTGGATTCTATTCCCGGCAGGGCAAAATGTTCACTAAGTTTCCACACGCCTGTATACCAAGTAGTAAGTAGGAACCCAGTTGTTAGTTGATTAATGGATCGCTTTTCCGGGAGGGTAATAATTCCTTTAAAAAAACGTAATAATAATAAATTGGTCACTAAATCCACGACTGTTGGTGGGACACTGCTATGCGCAATTGGCTGCCACGTTTCACCCACAAATATCATAGAATCATAGAATTGTACAGTACAAAAAGAGGCCATTCGGCCCATCGAGTCTGTGCGGCTCTTTGAATAGAGCGATTAATGTCAGTCCCACTTCCCAGCCCTTTCCCCATAACCTGCAAACCCGTCCTCCTCAAATACCCGTCCACCAAGTTTTTAAAAGTAGTTATCGAATCGGCCTCAACCGCCCTTCCAGGCAATGCGTTCCAGATTCCAACAACTCGTTGCGTGAAAAAATTTCTTCTCACCGCCCCTCGGCTTCTTTTAGAGACTATTTTGAATCTGTGACCTCGAGTCACCAACACACCCACCAGTGGGAACAGTTTTTCCCTTTCCAACCTATCAAATCCCCTCATGATTTTGAAGACCTCTATTAGGTCTCCTCGTAACCTTCTCTGCTCCAATGAGAATAATCCTCGCCTGTTTTATATAGGTTAATCAAAACCTCCTGACTCTTGTACTCTATGCCCCTATTTATAAAGCCTAGAATCCCATTTGCCCTTTTTACAGCTGTATCTACCTGTCCCTCCACCTTCAAGGATTCATTTACCTGCACCCCCAGGTCTCTCTGTTCTTTTACCCCCTTAAGATTGTATTACCGGCCTATATTGCCCCTCATTCTTTCTACCAAAATGCATTACTTCGCATTTCTCTACATTGAAACTCGTCTGCCATGTGTCGCCCATTTTACCATCTGTCTATGTCTTCCTGCAGTTGGTTCCTGTCCTTCTCACTGTTTACCACCCTGCCTAACTTTGTGTCATCCGCAAACTTGGAAATGGTACTTGCTATACCCAATTCCAGATCATTTATGTATATTAAGAAGAGCAGTGGTCCTAATACCGATTCCTGCGGAACGCCACTGTACACTTCCCTCCAGTCAGAAAAGCAGCCGTTCACCACCACTCTCTGCTTTCTGTCTCCCGGCCAGTTCTGGATCCGCTGCCCCTTTTATACCATGGGCTTCTATCTTTCTTACAAGTCTTTCATGTGGCACTTTGTCAAATGCCTTTTGAAAGTCCATATAAACTACATCAACTGCACTACCTGTATCCACCCTCTCCGATACCTCATCGAAAAATTCTATTAGATTTATTAGACAAGATTTGCCTTTAACAAATCCATGTTGGCTGTCCCTAATTAACCCATATTCTTCTAAATCAAGATTTATTCTGTCCCGGATTATAGTCTCCAGGAGTTTCCCCACTGCTGATGTTAGGCTGACTGGTCTGTAGTTCGCAGGTTTGTCCTTCTGTCCCTTTTTGTACAGGGAGTCACATTGGCCACTCTCCAGTCCTCGGGCACCACTCCTGTGTCCAACGAAGATTGAAAAACTGTAGCCAAAGGCTCCGCTATTTGTACCCGTGCCTCCCATAGTAACCTTGGCTGCATCCCGTCCGGACCGGGCGACTTATCACCTTCAGCCCAGTCAACCTTTTCAGTACTTCCTCTCTGTTTATACTTATCCTATCCATTTCCTCTGCTCTCTCCTCCGATAATGCGGCATTTGGTGCATCCACTTCTTTTGTGAAGACAGATGCAAAGTACTCATTCAGCACATCAGCCGTGCCCTCTGCCTCCACAATAAGACTTCCCCCTTGGTCCTTAATTGGCCCCACCCTACCTTTGTCTAGCCTTTTTTCCTTGATATGTTTGTAAAATATTTTAGAATTCCCTTTAATGTTACCCGCTAACCTTTTTTCGTATAATCTTTTTGCCCCTCTTATTTCCTTTTTCAAACCTCTTCTGCACTTCCTATATTCGATTTGGTTGTCTTCTGTATCTTGGGTTTGACATTTGTCATACGCCTCCTTTTTCTGCTTCATTTTAGATACAATTACCTTCGTCATCCGGGGAGGTTTGGAAGCCCTACTTTTCCCCTTTGTGGGAATGTATTTATTCTGTCCCCGAGCTATCTCATCCTTGAAGACTTCCCACTGCTCTTTAGTTGTTTTACCTGCCAATCTTTCTTTCCAATCCACCTTGGCCCGGTCCCTTTTTAGCTCACTGAAATTTGCCCTCTTCCAGTTGAATATCTTTACCTTAGATGGTTCCTTGTCTCTTTCCATGTGCACTCTGAATCTAATGATGTTGTGATCGCTATTACCCAGATGCTCTCCCATTGAAACCTGCTCAACTTCCCCAACTTCATTCCCCAGAACAAGATCCAGCACTGCTTCCTTCCTTGTTGGGCTGGAAAAGTGCTGATCAAGAAAATTGTCCTGTATGCATTTTAGGAATATTTCCCCCTCCTTGCCCTTTGCACTGTTGTTTTGCCAGTCTATGTTGGGATAATTAAAGTCCCCCATTATCACGACTCTATTGGCCTTGCATCTGTCTGAGATCTGCTTGCAGATCTGCTCATCTATTTCCTTCCCACTATTTGGTGGTCTATAGTATACCCCTACCAGCCTAACAGCTCCTTTTTTGAAGCCCTCCCGTTTTGAAGCCCTCCAGCACCTCGACCCTTTCCATGGCTATAACCGTATCTTTGACTAACATTGCCACACCCCCTCCTTTTTTTCCTGCCCTATCTCTTATGAATACATTATAGCCAGGAATATTCAGCTCCCATTCCTGTCCTTGCTTGAGCCAAGTCTCTGTTACTGCTACTACATCGTATCCCCCGATGACCACTTGGGCCTCCAGCTCACCAATCTTGTTTGCTAAACTCCGTGCATTTAGGCACATGCACTCCAAGACCGACTTGACCTGTTCTGCGCTTCCCCCCTGTTTTATTTCTCCATTTTCTAGCTCTTCGTTTTTTGCATTCCCTTCCCCCCTCAAAACTAGTTTAAACCCTCCTCAACAGCAAGCACATTCGCCCCAGCCTTGTTTAGGTCCAACCCATCCATGGGATGGGAGGCAACATACCATCCTTGACTCCCGTCTTCTGTTGCAAAAACGTCGGTCTATACCTCTCACTGTTGTATCCTCAACACTATTGGGGGCATTCTGTCCAGCTCGTCCCCTCTTCCTATCATGCCGGACAGTCACCCAGTCATTTTCTGTCTGAACCCTCGGTGTGTGGGGTGGGGTGACCACCTCTTGAGGTGTCTGGTCCATCAAATACTCACATCCGTAGATCAAGTTTGAATTCCAAGGCTCGATCACCCCTCTCTCAGGGGTCCCATTATCTCAGGACTGATGAAAACATCCTGTCCCTGAGCATTAACTGGATGCAAGCTTCTCTCGAGCCTCAGGGGAGTGATGGTTTCCTCCAACATACTATCCAAGAACCTCTCACTGTCCCTGATGGAGCGCAGTGTCTGCACCTCGACTTCCAGCTCAGCTACTCTCCCCCGGAGCTTCCTGAGTTGCAGACACTTGCTGCAGATGAAGTCACCCGGACTCAGCGCCCTGCATTAACTCCCACATGTCACAGACCTCACATTTAACTTGCCACATCATCTTCTTACACAGTATTTTCAATTTTTTTTTTTTTAATTTGCCGTCAGTGTTGTGGTTTCTGACAGTCTGTCGATGTCTCCCTGGTTCTGCTGTTGAAAAAAAATGACGTCACACCTATGTCACTTTTTCTTTTTTTCGTCACTCCGACAGTTCCAACAGCTTACCTCCGCCGCTCCTTTTGCGCTGACTGCTAGGCCCAGGCTCTGCCTCAGCTCTGACCTGATTGCTCTTCCCGCGTGGATCATGCATCAGTTCACTTACAGTATAATCTGTGAAGCGCTTTGAGATGTCTCCAAAATGTGAAAAGCGCTCTATTAAATACAAGAATGATTATTATTATAATCCTTACATTTGATATAGCGCCTTATCACGTCTTCGAGATGTTTCAAAGCTCTTCACAGAATATACTGCAAAGTGAATTGACCGTATATTTGTGGGCAAAACTTGGCAGCCAATTGCACACAGCAGTGTACTACCAACAGTCGTGGATTGAGTGACCAATTCATAAGTTTTTTTGATGGAATTATTACCCCCAGAAAAGTGATCCGCCAATCGACTAACAACTGGGTTGCTACTTGCTGCTTGGTATACAGACGTGTGGAGTATGGAAACTTGCCCAACTTTTCGTCCTGCCTGGGAATCGATCCCTGGTCCTCTTGCTTGTCAGGTAAGCGCTCTTACCACTGAGCTACAAGACTCCACACTCTGGAGTGCGGGAGGATAAAGAAACCCCAATAATGGGTGTAACACAGTCACAAACCCCGCCATCAGGGTGTGATGGGCTGGAGATTGGGGAGTATGGGGTGTGGATGAGCCAGGGATGAGGGGGAACAGACTGTGAGGGAATCTGAGAGGGGATTAATTAATTGCGGTGAAGAAATGGACTGAGGGTATGAGCCAGAGGGAATAATTTGTATTTTTGAACAGTCAAATCAACCAAATATCATCTGCTGATGACCAGAGCAGGGCCAATAGAAAATTTCAGAAGTATTTTTATTTTACTTCAATCTATGACTGTTTGTGGGACACTGCTGTGCACAATTGGCTGCTGTGTTTTGCCCACAAATATGCAGTCAATTCACTTTACAGTATATTCTGTGAAGCGCTTTGAAACGTCTAGAAGACGTGTAAAGAGCTATATCAAATGCAAGGATTATTATTATAAGTCACTGGTTACACCTCAGCTGGAGTACTGTGTCCAATTCTGGGTGATGTCACTATAAGATGTCAAGACCTTGGAGAGGGTTTAGAGGAGATTTACCAGAATAGGACCAGGGATGGGGGACTTTAGTTATGTGAAGAGACTGGAGAAGTTGGGATTGTTCTCCTTAGAGCAGAGAAGGTTAAGGGGAGATTTGATAGAGTTGATCAAAATTATGAGGGGATTCGATAGAGTGGATGGGAAGAACCTGTTTCCACTGGCGGGTGGGTTAGTAATCAGGGCACATAGATTAAGATAATTGGCAAAAGAACCAGAGGGGAGATGAGGAGAAATTTTCTTTACATAGAGAGTTGTTACGGTCTGGAATTCACTGCCTGAAAGGGTCAGTGCAAACAGATTGAATAACAACATTCAAAAGGGAATTGGATAGGGAATTGAAAAGGAAACATTTGCAAGGATATAGCTGTTAAAAGAAACAGAGGAGAAATGTTTTCACACAGCCAGTTGTTGAGATCTGGAATGCATTGCCTGAAAGGCTGGTGAAAGCGGATTCGATAACAACTTTTAAGAGAGAAGTAGATAATTATTTGGGGAGGACGAGTTTGCAGGGCTATGGGGAGAGAGTGGGGGAATGGGGTTGATTTGGAAGCTCTTTTCAAGGAGCTGGCACAGACAAGATTGGCTGAATGCCTCCTTCTGTGCTGCATAATTATATGATAATTATATCATAATAACAAATTTAACTTTACACTATTACACGTGGAGTCCTGTAGCTCAGTGGTTAGAGCACTCGCTTTGCAAGTGAGAGACCTGAGTTCAATACGTTCTTACACAAGAGTTTCTTATTTTGAAATGATTAGGACAAGGATCTTGAACTCGATCCTCTGGGGGATGGGGAGCCAGTGGAGTCGGGCGAGGGTGGGAGTGATGGGGTCACAGAGCCTGCTGTGCGAGAGTACGCAAACTGCAGAGTTTTGGATGATCTGCAGTATGTGAAGGGAAGAGTTGGGAAGGCCTATGAAGAGGGAATTTCTGTAATCGAGCCTTGATGTGACGAATGCGTGGGTGAGGATTTGGGCAGGCTGAGGGGTGAGACAGTGGCAGAGTCTGGCAATATTGCGGAGGTGTGGGAGAAAGGACAATTCAGGGTCAAGCAAGACCCCCAGGTTCCTGACTGGCTCAGTGAGGCTGAGTGTGCAGCCCGTGAGGCTGAGGCTGCCAGCGCCTGAGGTGCGGAGGCGCTGTGCCAATCAGGAGGGCCTTGGTCTTGCTGACGTTGAGTTGCAGAAAGTTGGCCCTTGTCCAGGACTATTTAGTGGGGCACAATTATTGGACTTCTGAGAAAATACTAATGTGTTTCAGACTTGTTTATACGTTCTTACACAAGAGTTTCTTATTTTGAAATGGTAAGCTTGAGATTTCTGATGAAGATCAAATTGAGGGAAAACCAGTTCTTGTGATATAATATGTTCTTGGCACAGTCATGAATCTGTTCCTTGGAAGATGGGAGCTCACAGAACATACGAGTCCTGTGGAGCCCCTTAGCTCAGTGGTTAGAGCACTCGCTTTGCAAGTGAGAGACCTGAGTTCAATCCCAGGCAGAGGGCGAAACCTTGGGCAAGTTTCCTTACTCCACACAGAGCCTAATAATAATCCCTCCAAAACCCAAAACAATAATAAATTGGTCATTTTCAATCTACGACTGTTTGTGGGAAATTGCTGTGCGCAATTGGCTGCTGCGTTCGCCCACAAATATACAGTCAATTCACTTTACAGTGTGTTCTGTGAAGCACTTTGGGACGTCCTCCTGACGTAAAAAGCGCTATATCAAATGCAAGGATTATTATTATTATTATACGAATTAGGAGCAGCAGTAGGCCATTCGGCCCCTCGAGCCTGCCCTGCCATTTAATAAGATCGTGGCTGATCTATTCTAACTCCACCTGCCCGCCTTAACCCCATATCCCTTTATCCACAAGAAATCTATCAATCTCAGTCTTGAATATATTCAAGGACTGAGCATCTACAGCCCTTTGGAGTAGGGAATTCCATAAATTCGCTACCCTCTGAGTGAAGAAGTTTTTCCTCAACTCAGTGCGAAAGGGCTTACCCCTAATTTTCAGACTGTGACCCCTGGTTATAGTTTCTCCAACCAAGGGAAAACGTCTCCCACTATCTATTCTGTCGTGCCCCTTAATAATCTTATAGGTTTCTGTAAGATTACCTCTCATTCTTCTATATTCTAGAGAATATAGGCCTAAATTGCTCAACCTATCCTCATAACTCATCCTCCTCATCCCAGGTACCAACCTAGTGAATCTACGTTGTACCCCCTCCAAGGCGAGTACATCCTTTCTTAAATAAGATCAAAACTGCACACAATACTCTCGGTGCGGCCTCACCAGGGCCCTATACAGTGCAGCAAGACTTCCCTACTCTTATATTCTAACCCTTTTGTAACAAATGCCAACATACCGTTAGCTTTCCTAATTGCTTGCTGTATCTGCAAACTAACTTTCTGTGACTAATGTACAAGGACACCCAAGTCCCTCTGAATGCTAACACTATTTAGTTTCTCCCCTTCTAAGAAATAACCTGCTCTACTGTTTTTGCCACCTAGGTGGATGACCTCACACTTCCCTACATTATACTTCACCTGCCACCTATTTGCCCACTCACCTAGTCTATCTATATCTCGTTGGATTTTTTTAATGTCATCCTCGGTGTTTACTCTCCCTAGTTTAGTGTCATCCGCGAATTTGGATATATTAAGTTCAATGTCCTCATCTAGATCGTTGATGTAGTTTGTAAATAGTTGAGGCCCAAGCACTGATCCTTGTGGCACTCCACTAGTCACATCCCACCAATCTGAGAAGGACCTGTTTATCCCTACTCTTTGTTTTCTTCCCGTTAGCCATTCTTCAATCCATGCTAATATATTCCCCTTAATTCCATGGGCCCTAATCTTGAGGATCAACCTTTCATGCGGCACCTTATCAAATGCCTTTTGGAAATCAAAATACACTACATCCACTGATTGCCCCCTATCTAATCTACTTGATATGTCCTCAAAAAAATCTAAAAGATTTGTTAAGCATGACTTCCCTTTTGTGAAGCCATGTTGACTCTGTCTAATCATATTGTGGTCCTCTAAGTATCCCACTATGACATCCTAAATTAAGGGTTCTAGAATTTTCCCTACCACCGATGTCAGACTAACTGGTCTATAGTTCCCCATCTTTTCTCTCCCACACTTAAATAGTGGTGTGACGTTTGCGATCTTCCAACCGTTCCAGAATCCAACGAATTTTGGAAGATCAGACACAAGGCCTCCACTATCTCATGAGCTTCCTCTTTTAAAACCTCGGATGCAAACCATCAGGTCCAGGGGACTCGTCACTTTTTAATGCCAACAATTTCCCGAGCACCAATTCTTTGCTAATGTAAATTTCTCTAAGTTTCTCCTTGGTTCATCTCTATTTCTGGTAAACTTCTTGTGTCTTCTAATGTGAAGACAGAAGCAAAGTATTTATTTATGGACTCTGCCATATCCTTATACCCCATTATTATTCCTCCTGTGTCTGCCTGTGATTGGCCCACATTTACTTTTGCAAGCCTATTCCTCTGAATGTATTTATAAAAACTCTTACAATCTGCCTTAATGTCCCTCGCTAGCTTGCCCTCATAATCCATTTTCTCACTCTTAATGACCTTTTTGGTTTTCCTTTGTTGGTCCCTAAAACACACCCCGTCCTCAGTTTGCTACTCTTTTGGCAGTTTTATAGGCCTTTTCTTTTAGTTTTATACTTTCTCTAACTGCTCTAGTTAGCCACGGATTAACTGCTTTCCCTGTGGTACTCTTATTCCTCAAGGGAATATGTGACCGCTGAGAATTATGTACTACATCTTTAAACGTTTGCCATTGTTGGACTATTGTCATATCCATTAATCTAATTCCCCAGTCTATTTTAGCTAATTCTTCCCTCATACCTGCAAAGTTAGCTTTATTTAAATTTAAGACCCTTGCTTCGGATTTGACTACATCGCTCTCTAACTTAATACTAAATTCTATCATGTTATGATCACTCTGCCCTAGAGGAGCCTTAATATCTATATTACTGATTAGCCCTGTTTCGTTACACAAAACAAGGTCTAGGATGGCCTATCCCCCAGTTCGTTCCTCAGCTACTGCTCCAGAAAGCTCTCTCTCATACATTCTATAAACTCCTCCTCTACCCTACTTATGCCAATTTGGTTTTCCCAATCTATGTGAAGATTGAAATCACCCACGATTACTATATTAACAAGGCTACCCCCCCACCCCCACCTCGTTTTCCACATTGTCTATCCTTCCTATAAGCTGAAAACCCCGGAATATTTAACTCCCACCCTAGATCTCCCTGTAACCAGTCTCAGTAATGGCTACTAGATCATACCTGTTTGTATCTATCTGTGCCTTTAATTCATCTATCGTATTCCAAATGCTTCATGCATTCAGATATAGCGATTTTAATTTCTTACCATTTCCCCTACTCTCTGCTGCCCTATCTTCTTTACTGAGCTTCTTACCCCTCTTTGACTTATTCTGTTTATTTCTCTCACTATTCTGTTTTGCCACCTTTAGTTTTCTTAATATTGCTGGCTTGTGATTATTTCTGATTGTATCCCCCCCACCCGCTTTACTAGTTTAAAGCTTTATTTACCTCCCTATGTATTCGGTTTGCTAGGACATTTGTCCCAGCCTGATTTAAGCGGAGCCCATCTTTTTGAAATAGACCCCTTTTCCCCCAATACTGGTGCCAGTGGCCCATAAAATGAAACCTCTGCGTTCTGCACCATTCCCTCAGCCATGCATTTAACTCTCTAATTTGCTTATTCCTGTACCAATTTGCACATGTCAATGGCAGCAATCCTGAAATCACTACCTTTAATGTTCTTTGTTTTAATTTAGTTCCCAGCTCCCTCCTCAAATCATCACAACTAACCCTACCTATGTCATTGGTACCTATGTGAAGTACCACCAGTGGATCCTCGCCCTCATGTTTCAGATTCTCCTCCAGCCTCGCCGAGACGTCCTTCACCCCGGCCCCAGGAAGGCAACAGAGATTTCGGGTCTCCTGGTTGTGGCTGCAGATAAGTGTATCTGTCCGCCTGATAGTCTCGTCCCCAATCACTACGACTTTCTGTTTGTTTCCCCTAATATTGGAAGCATGTTTTCCTTCCTCCTCACAGGCTTCCCTGTCCACACAGGTTGCAAGGATCTCGTACCTGTCGGCCGAGGTTAAAGCCCGAGGCTTCACTACCACTCTCCCTGGTGGTCCCTTAACCTCCTGCCTGTCAGACACCCTATCCTGTCCTCGACTGATACTATTATCTATATATTCCCTGAGCCTCAGGGAGTGACTGCTTCAGGATGAAACTATCCAGGAAGCACTCAGTGTCCCTGATGCTGCGCAATGTCTGCACCGTGGATTCCAGCTCAGACCCTCAGCAACTCCCACATGTTACAGTCCTCACACAACACCTGCCACCCATTGCCCCTCTCCCACCCCCACTGGGAATTCAAGTTTTATTTAATGAATTATTATTATTTTTTAAAAATTGAATTCTTAATTAATCTTTTTTTAAAAAATTTATTTTATTTTTAGTGTTGTTAATTAGTAGTTAGTGTTGGTTTACTGTTGGTCAGCAGTTAGTGTTGGCTGTTAGTTTACTGTTAGTTAGTCAGTAGTTAGTGTTGGCTGTTAGTTTACCCTTTCAGAATGTTTTGATTTTGACGTTGTTCTGATGTCACTTTTTAATTTTCCCGCTTGTCACTTGGTTTTTTAATCTCTCCCCTCGCTCTGCTCCTGACTGACTGCTCCCCTCGCTCTGCTCCTGACTGACTGCTCCCCTCGCTCTGCTCCTGACTGACTGCTCCCCTCGCTCCCCTCGCTCTGCTCCTGACTGACTGCTCCCCTCGCTCCCCTCGCTCTGCTCCTGACTGACTGCTCCCCTCGCTCCCCTCGCTCTGCTCCTGACTGACTGCTCCCCTCGCTCCCCTCGCTCTGCTCCTGACTGACTGCTCCCCTCGCTCTCCTCGCTCTGCTCCTGACTGACTGACTGCTCTCCTCGCTCTGCTCCTGACTCATAGAATTATACCTTTAATCAGTCTCTTGTTGGGACATGAAAGGAGCTTCTTGTGAGAGTAGCTAACAATAATTTATCTGATACTTTGTTCTGAGCAAATTCTTGTCAGAGCAGGATTCTCTCTCTTTGTGTAAAGTCATTCACTTGGACCTGTCTGGTCACCTTCCCTCTCCTGAGCTCGAGCCCAGTGTCCCGTTGTGGCAGAGTTTGTGACCTTGACCGTGTTGCACCCATTAACTGCAAAGAGGACGTCCGAAAGTCCTTCCTATGAAATACTACAAAGTGTAGTGACTGTATGCTGCGTGGACGAATAAGGCATCCAATTTGCACATAGCAATGTCACAGCCATGACGTGAGTGACCAATTGTATCTGGGGGATTGTCGGCCAGGACACCAGGAGAGGGAAACTCTCTTTTCTTTATTGTCCACCTGAACAGGTCACCGACAAGACCTTGGTTTAATGTCTCGTCGAAAACACTCCTCCAGCTCTGCAGTGGAGTGTCAGCCTAGACCGTGTGATGTAGGACTCGGAGGCGAGTGTGCCAACAACTGAACAAGACTGACACACCTGCTGGGGAAGCCATGGCCTCGAAACAGGCACGAGCACAAGGTTTCCCCTTTTGAGTGGAACTTGGGGTGTCCCAACACGTGCAGAAAGAGGAAGCAGATGCTCTGTGACTAAAGGTTTCAATTGCTAATGACTTCCCCATACGCAGTGATTAGCTGGTGAAGAGGAAAGGATTGATTTTTTGAGAAAAACTGAGAACACGTTCGTTATTTCTCTCTCGGCAGCAAACCTCACTCCTCAAAACCCAGAGCCATCACCTTAACCAGGAGCAGAGGCCTCGTGTCTGTGCTGGTGCTCGCTCCCTCAATGCAAATCTCTAATCCCATTCCCCTATTCCCACCCAGAGCAGGGAATGGGGTTAGAGTAGAGAGGTCCAGTGGGGGAGCGAACACCAGCACAGATATGATGGATAGAGAGAGAGAGAGCAGGGAATGGGGTTAGAGTAGAGAGGTCCAGTGGGGGAGCGAACACCAGCATGGACGCAGTGGGCCTGTTCCATGCTGTAGTTCATTTGAGCTGTGTCTGTGTGAGGGATGTCATTAGAGATATATTTGGGGGATCTCTGCTGCCTGATTGCAGAGGCTCTGTGAATGATCTGTCTCTGCTCCCATCATGTCCAAACACAAAGCCTGTCCCCGAGCGTGTGTGAACATGTGGTGAGGGGCGGTGTGCAAAGTGTTGTGCGAGCTGTGCCCCGCCCTATGCCAGGATACATGGGGTTGTTACACTGCAGCCCAGGAGAGAGGAGGGCTGGGGAGATGAGAGGTAAAACAGCTGCTGGTGGGGAAGTGTGATGATGGGAGAGATTAATGCTCTTGTCTCTCTCTCTCTCTCTCTCTCTCTCGTTCAGGGGCGTCATGTCAAGACGGGCCAGCTCGCTGCCATCAAGGTTATGGACGTCACTGGGGTAAGTGAGAGTTCCAACAACAACAGTATTGCACTTATACAGTTGCCTTTCACGTTGGGAGGATGTCCCAAGGTGCTGGACAGTTAAATTTACACCCGAGCTGAAGATCAGACCCTGTGCTCGTGAGGCTCAAAGCGTATATAGGAACAGGAGTAGGCCATTCAGCGCCTTGAGCCTGTTCCACCATTCTATTAGATCATGGCTGATCTGTACCTCAACTCCAATTACCTAACTTTGCCCCATTTCCCTTAACACCCTGACCTCACAAACATCTACCCACCTCAGCCTCGAAAATGTGAATTGATCCAGCCATAATCCACGGACTTTTGGGGTAGAGAGTTCCAGATTCCCAGAAACTTCCCCTTTGGGTGAAAAACTACCTCTTGATTTCACTCCTAAATGGCCTGGCTCTAATTTTAAGATGATGTCCCCCTTATTATGCATGCCACCCCCCACCATACCCACCAGAGGAAGTAGTTTCTCTGTAGCTACCCGACCGAATTACTTTATCATTTTAAACCTCAATAAAATCAACACCTCAACCTTCTCAACTCAATGGTGTACAAGCCAAGTCCCACTTGGGAAGGGGAGAGAAAGGGATGTGATTTTGGCAGGTGGACACCCTCTCTCTCTCTCTCTCTCTCTCTCTCTCTCTCTCTCTCACTCTCCTGCCCACTGCTGCCCCCAACACGACTCCCAAAGCCTCTCCAATTGTACAGATAATAATAATCCCTCAAGAAAAAAAAGCAATAATAAATTCGTCACTTTAATCCATGACTGTTTGTGGGACGCTGCTGTGTGCAATTGGCTGCCGCATTTCGCCCACAACTATACAGTCCATTCACTTTACAGTATATTCTGTGAAGCACTTTGAGACGTCTTGAAGACGTGATAAGGCACTGTATCAAATGCAAGGATTATTATTATTATAGAGATATCTCAGCCACTCTGTCTGAGGCTGGCAGGCTGGCGGGGAGGATTGACAGTTCTGCCACATCCCCGGGGACCATAAGTCACTGCTTGCCTCCCTAATAACACAGCGAGGCTGTGTCCTGACAAGCTCTCCACCCAACCCCATCATTATTTCCCTTGCTTGTTTATCTCCACATTTCTCACGGAAGGTCTTAGCTCCGACCAATGATTCCTGTGGTGCACGGTTTGAGCTGTGCCGGTTTGGGAAAACCGTAGGAATGTTTGGCTAGTGGGATCACGCACACGCGCACACACACACACACCTCTCTCGCTTTCTCTCACACTCTCTCACTGTGTTTCACACTCTCTCCCACACATTCTTTCTCACACTCTCTCCCTCACTCTCTCGTGCACACACACGCACACACACACATTCCATCACACATTCTCTCACACACATACACACTCTCTCATACCCACTCTTTCTCACACTCATACACTCTCCTCAAAATAACTCTGTGATACATTACTGGTTGTCGAGCATGGAGCGGAGGTTTGGTGCCTTGTGTCGGGCTGTGTTTGGGCTGCCATGTTCCCTGTTTTCCCGCAGGATGAGGAGGAGGAGATCAAACAGGAGATTAACATGCTTAAAAAGTACTCGCACCATCGCAACATTGCCACATACTATGGAGCCTTCATCAAAAAGAATCCCCCAGGGGTGGACGACCAACTCTGGGTAGGTCTGAGGTTCAGAGGAGCTCGAGCGAGGGAGGGGCCAGGGGTTCGTGAGCACCATGAACACACGCACAGACCTGCAAGCTCACATCTCTCACACACACACACACACACACCCTTGAGCAAACATTCTTCTTCTGATGAATCTGTTTTCCAAAGATTAGTATTTGGCAGGGAAACAAGCCAGTGTCAGCCTCTCCCAATGATGTATTGGTTGAGGCTGATGCTTAACTTGATTGAAGGATTAATTTTGAAACCAGTTTAGATATTATCTAAGAAAAACAGATTCCAGGTAAAGTCACCTTCTGCCCTCATTTCTGAGTAGTCTTAAATCGTCAATAAAATAAGTGTGGTGAGGAGGGGGCAGAGCACTGGGGTCACCACTAGTGAACGACAGTAAAGTGACGATTGCTGAGGTTTAATGAAGGAATAGTAACACTGGCAGTGAGTGACTGTGCATGTCGGTCGGACGCAGGGATGAACAATGAATTTAATTTAATTTTGTCAGGGAGGCTGTTAGAGAGGAGCGAGAGTGCCTGATGGCGTTCTCTCTTTCCTTCCATTTATTGGGGTCCTGTAGCTCAGTGGTTAGAGCACTCGACTTGCAAGCGAGAGACCTGGGTTCAATTCCAGACAGGGCGAAACCTTGGGCAAGTTTCCTTATACTCCACACAGAGCCTAATAATAATCCCTCCAAAACAAAACAATAGTAAATTGGTCATTTTCAACCCGCGGCTGTTTGTGGGACGCTGCTGTGCGCAATTGGCTGCCGCTTTTCGCCCACATATATACAGTCAATTCACTTTACAGTATATTTGATATAGCGCTTTGAGATGTCGAAGACGTGAAGAGCGCTATATCAAATGCAAGGATTATTATTATTATATTGTCAATGAGGAGTGAGCGGTGGTGGGGGGGGGGGGCGTGGGGGTGGTGGGGTGGAGAGTGAGGGTCCTAGCGGCTGTGCTCATGTTGTCCTCTTTCTCAGCTGGTTATGGAGTTCTGTGGAGCCGGCTCCGTCACTGACTTGATCAAAAACACGAAAGGGAATACGCTGAAAGAGGAGTGGATCGCGTACATCTGCAGGGAGATTTTACGGGTATGTTCACACGGTTTGTGCCCGTGTGATCTCGCGCACAAACACACGCACATGCTCAGTGAACCTCCTAATCGACACCCAGGCACTAAAAGCTAAACCGTGTAAAATCATTTTGGTTGTAGATTAATAATTAATTGTGTGACTTCATTCCATTAACTGCCTCAGAAACCCCCACAGTTATAGTTGATGGTGCGTCTGCCCCCACACTGTGTCGCTGAGGCTGGTCAGCTCTTCTCGGACATGCCTGACCCCAGTGCTGCCTCGTTCCCTAGGGAGAGTGAGAGTTGGGGTGAGCTCGAGTGCTGTACTATAGTGGTTAGAGCACTCGCCTTGCAAGCGAGAGGACCAGGTTCAATTCCCGGGCAGGGCGAAACTTTAGGCAAGTTTCCTTACTCCACGCGCCCCTGTTTACCAAGAGGTAAGTAGGAACCTGGTTGTTCGTCAATTGGTGGATCGTTTTTCCGGGGGGAATAATTCCTTCAACAAAATAATAATTTGGCCACTCAATCCAGGACCGTTTGTGGGACGCTGCTGTGCGCAATTGGCTGCTACATTTCACCCACAAAATCTACAGTCAATTCACTTTACAGTATATTCTGTGAAGCGCTTTGAGATGCCTCAATGACATGATAAGGCACTGTATCAAATGCAAGGATTATTATTATTGTTGTTGTTAGCTGGGGAGTCACTAAGTCACTTACAGTTCAGTCCGTGACACTCTCTCCTATCACCAGGGACTAACCCACCTGCACCAGCATAAAGTGATCCATCGGGACATTAAGGGACAGAATGTGCTGTTGACTGAGAACGCTGAGGTCAAGTTGGGTGAGTGGATTCCTGATCTTCATTGTCCTCTCCCAATCGCCCACATGCGCACACACACACACTGCGCCCCCTGTGCCCGTGCGCACAAGCAAACACACACACACACTCCCCCCCTTCCACCCCACTCCGCCTTCTCTGGAGATAAGAGATTTGTTCTGGGACATCTCACGCTATTTGGACATGGAGTCACTGTACCTTGTGAAAACCATCGACATATACAGCACAGACAGAGAGCTCCCCATCAGCCTGTGCCCCTATCCCGCCCTACCACCCTAACACTTCCCAGATACACCTAAGCCATTTTTATATTTTTCCTTATTCTACATCCATTCAATTCATATGGGACACTGCTGTGCAACTGTCTGCCGTGTTTCATCCACAAAAGCACAGTCAATCAATATAAGTTGCAGTATATTGTGTGAAGAGATAGAGATATCTTGACGACAATCAATTAATTTGATTAAATTAATTAAATGCAAGGATTATTATCGTTATGAACACTCCCCCGGGTGTCTCCGCAGTTGATTTTGGTGTTAGCGCGCAGCTTGACCGCACAGTCGGCCGGCGAAACACCTTTATTGGCACACCGTACTGGATGGCACCCGAGGTGATCGCCTGCGACGAGAATCCAGATGCCACGTATGATTTCAAGGTCAGCTGGGAATTTTTCTCATTTTGTGACAAAGCCTGGCGATGGCGCCGGCCCCTCGGAAATCTGTCACCGCGGCAATACTGGGGGCTGTGAGCGGCGCAGCACACCCGCAAACACTCTCTCATCCTCGTCCCATCAAAGCCCTCCGCGGCCTTTTTCTTCCCTACTTCCGTGACCTGCTAACTCCATACCGTCCTATCCGCTCCCTCTGCTCAGCGGGCTGCATCCTGCCCTACGGTTCCCCCGCCCTGCTCACCCCACAATCGATGGCCAGGCCTTCAGCCACTTTGCCCCCCCACCCTCTGGAACTCCATCCCAGAATCCCTCCGCCTCACTCCCTCCCTTGCCTCCTTCAAGGCCTGTCTCCAGACCCTCCTCTTGGACCGCGACTGCCATCCTCCCACCCCACCCTCCCTGATCCAAACACCCAGCTCGGGTATGAATCCTTGATTCCTCAGGCCTTGGGGCATCCTTCCAGTTGCAAGATTCCCCCCACCCCCTCTCCCCCCATTTGTGATACAAATGTAAGTTGTTGTTTGAATCCCGCGACGGTCAGTGTGACGTGACGCCGAGTGCTGTGTTTTGCAGAGTGACCTGTGGTCTCTGGGGATCACAGCCATCGAGATGGCCGAGGGAGCTCCACGTGAGTCTAGTTTGTGGTGTTCGTGCCTTCCGCTCGCTCACTTGTTTGTTCTTTCTTTCATTCGTTTGCTCGTTCGCTCGCTCACATTCATTCTCTCTCTCTCCCTCTGCTCTTCAGCTCTGTGTGACATGCACCCAATGAGAGCCCTCTTCCTCATCCCCAGGAACCCACCTCCACGCCTCAAGTCCAAGAAGTGGTAAGCAGGGGTTCCTCTGTATGGGCTTGTGGTGTATCTCTGAGAAAGGACCTCCACTCCTGCAGTGAAAGGCGTAGAGCTGGAGAGAAAGCCACCCACCAGCACAGACATGGTGGGAGAGAGCAGGAAATGGGGTTAAAGTAAAAAGTTCCAGTGGGGGACGGGGGAGCAAGCACCAGCACGGCTGGGGAGGAGCAATAATTTCCTGGAGTTGGCTGCCCTCATTGGCTCCGTCTCGTCTCCAGGTCCAAGAAGTTTGTGGCTTTCATCGAGGGATGTTTGGTGAAGAATCACGGGCAGAGGCCGGCCACAGAACAGCTGCTCAAACACCCGTTCATCCGTGACCAGCCCAATGAGCGCCAGGTCCGCATTCAGCTCAAAGACCACATCGACAGGACCAAGAAAAAGCGAGGAGAGAAAGGTCTGTCCTCTGTCCACCCGAGCGTCGGCTGGAAGTGGGAGAGGGAGGGGGTTATCAGAGCAACCTGGGTCACCACCACCCCCTCTACCCCTACCCTCCCACCCCGGGCTGACTGTCTCTCATCTACTTCAGTGAATGCAGAGATTTGGCCAATGGCAAGTGAGGGATTGGGGGTCAGACCTGTTGACACTGCTCTCTTTCCCCCCAGATGAGACAGAATACGAGTACAGCGGGAGTGAGGAAGAGGAGGAGGAGGGTGACATTGGAGAGCCCAGGTGAGGAATCGAAAGCCCCAAAAGTTCCATCAACTTTGAGTCTCCGCGTGGTTGCTGCAGGGCGGTGGCTATGACACGCCAAATGCCACCCTTTCTGGGAGGATTCCGGCTCCGTGTGACTTTAACCCGTGCGTTTGATGGAGCGCTTGTAAAGTCAAGATATCTCAAAAAACTGCTTCATAGGATTCACTGTAATGCTGTAAGGAAATAGAAGGGAGTTTCTCTCCCTCTCTGTCTCCTCCACCTCCCCCCGGGATGGGGGGTTGGGGGCTGGTGGGGGCAGAGGAGACAGAGAGGAGAGGAACTTCTGGGGGTGGGGGTGGGTGGGCTACTATGCTCTGTTGCCGTGTGTTTGCTGAGCGTGTGCCCCCTCTTCACTGAGGCTTGGTCACTAAGTGTCTCTCTGCCCGCCCCACCCCCCTTTTGCAGCTCCATTGTGAATCTGCCGGGCGAGTCGACTCTGCGCAGGGACTTCCTGCGGCTGCAGCTGGCCAACAAGGAGCGCTCGGAGGCCATCCGCCGGCAACAGCTGCAGGAGCAGCAGCAGCGAGAGAATGAGGAGCACAAACGCCAACTGCTGGCCGAGCGGCAGAAGCGCATTGAAGAGCAGAAAGAGCAGCGGCGTCGGCTGGAGGAGGTGAGTGGAGGAGCATGGGGGGCGGGTGGTGGGGGGAGCATAGGGTGGGGCAAGCGGGAGGGAAGCCCAGTGGGATGGGGGTGGGGGGGGGGTGGCCAGGCCATGGCAGAAAGTCCTCTTTTTCCAACATTCGTCTCATTTGAAATACATCATGGGAATGGCAAAGAGTACCAACTCATCCCCTCCCACCCCCTCCCATTTGCCCATCGGGCACTGTACCCCAGTGACTGCACATGTGGTATTGCAGCACGTGGAGAGGGCGTTTCTCTCGCTGCCAGCCTGAATGGCCACGCGGTGACTGGGGCTCGCGCTCTCACTCAGCTCTGACTCTTCCATGGTGTTTGCAGCAACAAAGACGGGAGCGAGAGCACCGGAAACAACAGGAGCGGGAGCATCGGCGGCGATACGAGGAGAGGGAGCGAGCCAAGCGGGAGGAGGACCGGCGGAAAGCCGAGTGCGAGCAGGTAATGGCTGGGTGGGTGGGCAGGACACCGTTAGTTGGGGTGGGGGGGGGAAGAGCTGTAAATTGCGATGCGATGATTCTCAAATCATTGATAAACGAGGCTGACAAAGGACTCGAGAACTGAAGATTGGCTGCAGCGGGGAGACTGCTCTCCCCACACCCTCCTCCCTCACACACACACATATCCCCTCACCCATCCTCCCCAGACTCAGTCCAGTTTCTGGGCAAAGCCAAGCCATGGTTGGCGGCTCCATCAGGATTGGTGTTTACTTGAGTCAGGTCAAGAGCTGGGATTGACACGTGCGGCCCTCGGTGCTCTTGATCCCCCCCTCCCCCAGATCCCTTTAGATTCAGTGACCCTGACAGTCTTGTCACTGATGGTTTGTTCCAAGGTATCAGAGACTTTGGTTGGGCAGGTCGGGGGGTGGGGAGAGAGAGAAAGTTGAAAGTCCTTCTGGTCTTAGCCTTGAGACTGGGGATGTTAACATTTTAAGACGCCGAAAAACGTTGGTAAATTCAGAAATCTGTTCAAAGGAAACTATGGAAAAACGGCTTCGAAAACTCAGGTTGAATTTAGATCTTTTCCACAGTTCCAATTGATTGGGATTTTAAGACTTATGGGAGGAGGGGGTGGGAGGATATGGACAGGGGAGCAGGGGTAGGGGTGCGGCGGTTGGGGCAGTAATGCTGGGAATAGTAGGGACCAAATATGCTGCTATATCACATGTAGAGTTGATGGATCCTCGATCCTGCTGGTTCAATCCATTGGTGCTTCCTGTCTCAATCGTCCTGTTTCTGCTCTTGTCTCTCCGTCCTGTCTCTCTCTGCCTCTCTCTCTCTCTCTCTCTTGCACGCTTGCAGGAGTACATAAGGCAACAGTTAGAGGAAGAGCAGAGGCAGTTAGAGATCTTACAGCAGCAGCTGCTCCAGGAACAGGCTCTACTTCTGGTAATGGACTGAACGGATCCTTGCCCCAGGTCTTGCATGTGCTCCCCCCATCTGTCTGTGTGTGTGTGTGTGTGTGTATTGTGCTTACACCAAGCTACAGTTATCCAGCCCTCTCCTTCAGGTTCCAGTTTCAAGAGTGGAGCAGGAATTGGGACCATCTAAGTTTAAACACACATTTTTGGAGCTCTACTGTGTCTCTAACCCTGACCTGGGAGTGTGGACGCACAGTGTAGAGGGAGCTTTACTGTGTCTCTAACCCTGACCTGGGAGTGTGGACGCACAGTGTAGAGGGAGCTTTACTGTGTCTCTAACCCTGACCTGGGAGTGTGGACGCACAGTGTAGAGGGAGCTTTACTGTGTCTCTAACCCTGACCTGGGAGTGTGGACGCGCAAAGTAGAGGGAGCTTTGCTGTGTCTGTAACCCTGACCTGGGAGTGTGGACGCACAGTGTAGATGGAGCTTTACTGTGTCTCTAACCCTGACCTGGGAGTGTGGACGCACAGTGTAGATGGAGCTTTACTGTGTCTCTAACCCTGACCTGGGAGAGTGGATGAACACATGGTATAGAGGGAGCTTTACTCTTAACAGGGGAGGGATTGAAAATGGGGCAAGGACTGCACCGATGAGCATGAAGGAATGGGCGATGTATTTGTTGGCAGTAACCAGACGCCCGGGGCTGAGCCAGAGCTCCGAGTTGACGGAAGGAAAGATGGAAAAGCTAGAGCAGAATTTGATGCTTTTGGGGTTTATAAATTGGAGTTTCCTCAAAACAATTTTTTGCCTTTAACAATTGAGTTGGGGTCAGAATTTGCCTATCTCTGTGCACCCTGGTCATGTTTGTAGGACTCTGTCGTCTATGGTTAACTGTGCCGGTGCCCATTTGTTTTCACCTCTGATCTGAGTCTGGTTGAGAGTTTGGCTTGGGTTTATTGGCTGTCGGAGATCTGTATATGCTCAGGCCACGGGTGACAGTGACTGCTCCGCTCTCCAGTCTGGACTTACTTAGAATTAGTGCTGGGACCTGGTGTCACTCTCCTGCCTCCTCTAATCTGCTGCATGTGCATGTGCAAACCTCTTAGCTCCTTCATGAGTGAGGAGTTGCTCTAGAAGATATCTGTGTTTCCGTTGGGTGATGGATCAGTAGTTCTAGGTATCGATGGATCCATGTTCCATCAAAGCAAATTGCGATTTTCCACAAAACTCCCTCTCTTTCCCCCCCTCCCGCACTGTGTTTATATCCCGGTTGAACCCATTCTCTGTGACCTGCGCCTTTGGTTGTCTCTCCCCTCCCCCCCCCACCTCCACCTACTCACCCCGGTCCAAGAGCGGGAGTGTATTGCTCTACCTTTGTGCAGCACTTTGAGTCATTTGAGGTGCTGCACCGGGAGACGTCTCTGTTGGGATGTTTCACTCTGCATCTGAATTGGATCTAGATTTGGATGCGGTGTGAGTTACTGTGCTTCCTGGGTGTGTAAACCATAACATGGATGCAGTGAGGAGCCAAAGGTATCTGTGACAGTTCCTCATAGTCTCTTATCGCTGGGGTGTAACGGGGGGTAACAGTACCTTGTGAACACCCTGTACTGTCCGGGTGTCCAGTCGGACTCAGAGTCATTGCCCCTCAGCTTATGTCTTGTCTCCCCCTCCCTCCCCCCGGTGAAGGAGTACAAGAGGAAACAGCTGGAGGAGCAGAGGCAGGCGGAGCGGCTGCAGAGGCAGCTACAGCAGGAGCGGGCGTACCTGGTGTCCCTCCAGCAGCAGCAGGAGCCACGGGCCGGCGACAAGAAGCCGCTCTATCACTTCAAAGACAGCATCAACCCCTCAGAGAAGCCAGCCTGGGCTAAAGAGGTACCTGGAGCACTTGGTGTGGCGCCTGGTTAAATGCCTGCCCGCTGGCCGGCCGGGGTGTCCCACACTTTATTTCTCTGTTTATTTTTTGTCCTTCACTCATTCGCTGGATGTTCGTTACTGCTCAGTTGTCGATGTAACTGGGGTCTCCTTTGAGCTGAATGAGCTCCGAGTGAGGCCTGGCAACGGAATATTGGCATCGATCCAGAATCTCTTGGTATTGGTAATCCGGTTCCTGAGCCAGGAGGGTCCGCAGTATTCCAGGGCTGTTGGCAGCACAGCTCAACCTGGCTCATTGGAAAGGCAGACCAGTCACTGGGGGCAGGGAATCCTCCCACTAAGCTCCTGCTAACCCTGCAGCCAAAGCCCCAACGGCTAGGTGGTCTTCGCTGGGCAAGCAGCGGGAAAGCTTGGATTTCCTCCCGATGTGAAAGGCACTACATAAATGCAAGTTGTTGTTAAACCTGTCAGTGTTACCATGGAACTGTTTGGGTGGAGTGGGGGCTGGAGGGGTGGTGGGGGGAGGTGGCGTGCGGTTTAACATTGCCTGGATTGTCGTTCTGAGATGGCGGGTGGCGCAGGGCATTTAAGTAAATGATTCTCTGATCCCGACGCAGGTACAGAAACGATCTCAGAGTAACTCTCCATGCCGGCCGGCTAAGCAGAAGCACGGCAACGGTAATGCGACTCCTCCCACCTCCGACAGGCACCAGGCCTTGGCTGGAGTGCTCGCCAGACACATTCAGAACAACCAGCCAGGTGTCTTGGCACTTGGGCTCAACGGGGCTGCTCCCAAAGCCCAGGGCAGAGCCGACAAACGTTTCATTCCCGATATCCGGTTGGAGGAATATCAGCAGCCAGAGCGCGACCACGATCAGGAACTCTTTGATTTGGCCAAGCCCAAGCTGAGGGCACGGTCTCATGGCCATCACCCGGCTAGACCGCTCGCCTCCGCCGACGTCTCTTTCGAGGTGGGAGCAGATGGAGTGCTTCAGAAGGTCACCAGAGGATCAGCCAAAAACTCGCAGGCAAGAGGGCGTAAGGGAGCCAGTCAACCCTTGGTGCCAGAGCAGGACCAATTCACCATGAGTTTCAGCGGGGTAATTAGGAAAAAGAGACGAGAGCCCCCTAAGCAGCATGTTTTTATAGTGCATCCCAATGGATATGTAGAGAAAGTACCACAGGCACCAACCATCTGCGTGGAAACTGACCCTGACGTATCCACCTTGGAGCCGGAGCAGCCTGACAGGCAGTGTAGCCAGAGCCCCGTAACTGACCAGGACTTTTCAGATGACCTCCAGCTGCCTAATTACCTGGCTCCTTTCTCCAGGTCCTGCCCTGAGAGTTTTTTCCGGAACCTGGCTAATGAGTTGCAGGTCCCCACCCTGAGCTTCCTCCATCACCAGGCCAAGGTGTCCAGCACGCCCGACCTCTCCTCCCTGTCTTTACTTGAGTCGACTCCTCCCCGCTTTCACTTTGCTCAGACCTCGCCTCACATCTCACCAACCTCCACCCTCTCTTTATCTGACTGCTCCCTGGAGCTCTCCTCCTTCGAGTTGCCCTCCTATTCCCCTGAGCTGCAGTTTGCTGACCCCCCCGCCTCCCAGTCTTTCTTTCCTCAGCGCAACCACCCGGGTGATCAGTCTGCCCTCCGAGTGTATCCCCACTCCAACCCAAACAGCAGGACCCACACGCCCATTCTAAGGCTTGAGGTTGACCCTGAGGATGACATTGACCATTCCGATTCCTTCTTCAGTCCCAGGCCGAGGTCGTGGTCACACGGACGCCACGTGGCCAGATCAAAGGAGACATCTGCCCCTGCCAGCAACTCCTACTTGTGCTCCAACCAGCAGCTCCACCACAGAGAGGCGCAGTACCTCGAGTCCCCCAGAAACAGGCATTCATGGGCAGCCTCTCACCCCTCCCACGGCCCCCTGGCTGCACCCTAGCAGCTATGCCCCTCCTACTTACATCTTTCCACCCAGAGTCCCACTGCATAACTGTCCCCACCCCCCCCACCCCCCTTAGGTAAATTGTGAGATCTAATTAGGGTTATTGTACAGACACAGAATAGACTTAGAAGCGGCAATCCTCCCACCCCTGACTACTGTGCTGTTTGCTTAGATTTTAGTTCTTAGGGTGAGGATGGTGAAAGGGAAACATAGGGGTTTGTACACAGTTCCAATAGTGTAAATATAGCTTTATTTTGTTCACGTTTTTAGTTGGGGAAACCAGTTTAGAGGTTGCGGCCCTGAATGGGTATCGAGGCTTCCCACGGCACTAGCTGGCATTGTCTCTGCTCAAGACAATTCTGCTGTCGTGGTTCCTAACCAAACTGGTCCTCTTACTGACCACCCGATTGGCGGTTTGGTTAGTAGTAAAATTCCTGGGTTCCCTCTTTAATTACCTCTGTGTGAGGTCAGCACTTTATTACATTAATAATAATAATTCTATCTGGACATTCACAGAATGTAGGACAATCTTGTCAATTTGTGGTTCCAGTCCCACAAATGTCTCCTTTCCTTACGTGTAGATGGGTCAACATCAAGTGTTTTTCATGCTGATAATGTCTCAAACCTTGGTTTGATACAGTGTTTATCATATCATTGTCTGAGTGCTTCACAAAGTGGCTAATTTGCGCACAGCAACATCCTAACAAACAGTAAATGTAATTTTATCGGAGGGATTGTAGGCCAGGACATTGGGGAGAAACTCTTCTCTTTTCCAAATAACGTTGCGGGATCTTTATCCTCCACCTAACAATGTCAGCCAGCAATGGGGTCCTCAGTTTAATGTCTTATCTGAAGGACGGCTCTTCCGATAATGTGGTGCTTCCCCAGCACTGCAGTAGAATGTCAGCCTAGACTGTGTCAAAGTCCTTTCGCGGGAGCTCGAACCCACAACCACCCGGCCTGGAAGCGAAAAGATTTCACGAACAATCTGATGAGCACAGACCTTGGAACTGCTCTTTTTGTGAGAGGATAAATAGTGAAAGATTATTCCCCTGCTGATCTAATGAGGGGACAGAAAAGGGCAGGGTTGTCCCTGGAAGAGTTGGACGAGGGAGGTTAGAAGACTTCTTTATCGAGGAGAAGGTTATTAAAACATGAAAAGGTGGCAAAATTGACTGCTGTGTTTGTCCACACAGTTACCATACCTTACAGAAAAACTCTGTGAAGCGCTCAGACGTTTTGATGCCGTGGACAAGATGTATCAGATGCAAAGATTATTTTCTGATTGATTGGGGCTGACAGTGCTCTGATGCTCTGTGCTGATTTTCGCGTAAGGAAATCGGACGACAGATTATTTTTATAATTTTATTTAAGAGTTTAACGTCTCAGAGACGAATACTCTATTAACTCTTATAGAGTTAACGTTCATGGGTGAAAGAGATTTCACAATAAACGTGGAATATTTTAAGAAATGCGAAATAAATAAAAATAAGTGCAGTGTAAAATAAATAGTCTAAATAAGGGAAAAGTAGCAAAGAGTAGAGTGTACCCAGTTCTAACCCATCACGTTTAGATCATTAGGACTGGAAGTGTCACTTCAGACAAAACTATTCTGTGACTTTACATGAAATACTCATCTTGTTGCCCTTTTGTGGGGTGTTGGACATTCCTGTTAATATCCACCCTCATGGGCGCCCAATCCCGTCTCCATTGTCCTCTGTCTTGCTCACAGCCCCCTTAATGTCCTAAATGCCACCTGCTGCCTATTGAAGTAGGCAGTACACCATACGGGTGGCATCAATGGATAGGGTAAGATGCCAGTCTGCACTGTCCCATTCAGTTTCCAATATTCTTAGACCCTCTCTTCAGGTAATGTGTTTCCGCTGACTTAGACTCCATTGCTTTTCATCAGCCAACACTCTTGGGCTTCTCACTATCACCATTCACTCAGTCTTGTCCCCACCGTGGCCTCCCTCTCGCTCACCCGCACCCCGCCCCCACCATTCCTCGCGCCTCTTAATTACAGGTGACCTATTCCTCCCCACACGGCCTCTGGGAGCAGAGAATCTCACAGACTTGATGCTATACTTCAGAGACGGGATCACTCTCAACTGTCCGATTCCTCGAATCCAAACCAAGTTAGAGCTCAGTCATTTCACTAAGTCAGCGCTTGGGAATGGGATGGGAATGTGTGGCAGCAAGTGCAGGTAGCCCCGAGCCCCAGGAACCAAGAGAAAGTGGTTGAGCCCCAATATGTGGATTTGTTCATCAGAAATACAGACACTGAAGATCAGTAGACACAAAGGGTTAGATGTGTGTGGGCACGGGGTGTGGGGGGGGGCATTTTGGTTTTGACCATGTATAGTTTGGAGACATTTCATGTAATTGAAGCTTTAGATGTTTCTTACCCGGCACCCCCATCCTCCCAAATTCCTTGTGTGTGAAGATAGCCACTGAAAGCATGCCCTTCACACGCCAGTATCTGGTCCAAACAACTCCTCTCTTGTTATGGGAGCCTGGAATACCACCGATCCTGGGCTGGGAAAGGCCCTCAGCCCTAAGCTGAATACATCTTTCACAGAATGGGAGAGTTTGAAGCTTCCCATGTCAGATTGAGCTGGGCTGCTGAGTGCAGGTCTCAAGGTCCACTCTGACTGTTCCGTTTCCTTGTGCGTTTAATGCTTATTGTGGACAATTCACCTGAGGCTGTTGAAGCATGAGGTGGGCCCTGCTGTTGGCTGGGGTGAGTGCCTTGGGCTGGGCCAGGCCACCTCTCAGAATATCACAAGCCACACTTGATCCTGTCCTCACTGGTTCCCAGCTGGAGCCACGGGCTGCGAATCGTAAGGCAGCATTAGTGTCCCTCTCAGAAATCATCTGCTTCGGCTGAAACCTGCTATTGTTGGCAAGGACGGGGGAGCAAAACTCAGACCCTTCCACCAGCCTGTGCCTCCGAGGTCCTTTAGACCATCCTCATGCCCAAGGCCTTTGAGATCTGCCTCGCAACAACCAAATGGGTTCTTCTAAATCTATTGAGGTCTTGTCTACTGATCTTCAGACCGTCACCTAATGCCCATGTACTTCTGATATTCAGTTGTGTCCAACAGCACAAGAGAGCATGGCATCTCATTTTTAATATATACTAATATTCATTCTCCCATGACTGAATGTTTAGATTTCTTTGGAATTGAACATTGGAGATACTAACTGCAGTATGCAAAGGGTCAACTCGACCCGACCAAACTCCACTAACTGCCGGGCCTGACACTAGTGAGTAAGGAGCTGTCACCGACCTTTCGGGGACTTGGAAGTGAGATCAATGCTGCCCAGAAATCGCTGAATCTTTCATTCAATGTAGATAAATAATTGAATTGAAACACCAAAACCTGGATGAATGATTAGCCACAATTCTGTGCTGTTTCGTTGTGGGATTTCTGAATTAGAAAGTTGAGAATTCCAATTGGAGAATCTTGGACTTAACAATTTCACAATTAAGATACACTGTCAGGAAATAGCAGCAGAATTAGTCTCCAGGTTGTAAGACACAATTTTTTTTATTTTTTTTATTTCATCGTTAGATTTTCTTCCCCCTTCCCTTCACTTTCTTGGTAACTCAACCCTGAAGGCCAGTGGGAGCAGGGTGTATGGATAGGTCTAGGCTGTAGAATCTTGGAACCATGCTGCTGTTATTGGTTGTAAACCATAAGAGGTCCATGGAAGGGCAGATCTGGCCAAAACCAAACCCATCTCATTGGGGAAACTAAGGTCCTCGGGTTAAGTGAGACTGGGGTTCAAACTCAGCTGAGGGGACAAGTTTAGGACAGACACCAGGAAATCTTCCTTTACTCAGCGGGTAATGCACAGTTGGGGACAGGTCACCAGGAAAGGGCAGTGGAGGGAGGTCAAGAAAGCTGAGACTTGTTTAAGAAATGGATTGATGCGTAATGGTGGTTGATTTGTGTTTGGGAGAGCAACACATTATTGTCAGAGGTGTTGGAAGTAGCTGGACTTTGAGACAAAGATAAAGATGGAACCGTTCGTAGTAACAAGAATGCACTTTACAGTTATGATCATCGAGGGATTAGAGGGCGTAGAATTATCAGCCAGTGGTTGATGGTTAGGATCCAAGCTGAGGTTGCATCACCCTCTTATTCTGCTTCACTTTCAAGTCCCAAGAAGTCACAAGAGCTCCTGCAATGCCAGGACTTAAACAGGCCACCCACGTTCAGCCTTGCTGCCATTACTACATACTAAGCACTAACCCCTAAGATAAGATGCTGGTGGTGGCTATGCAGAACTAACTCCATGTGCGGGTCGGCTGCTTGTTCTGTGGGAGTAGCGACGGTGCGGAGGGCAGATGGGATGGTGATGGGAAGGAGCTGTTCATGCTCTGATGCTTCCTGACTATTTCCATGGCTCAGTGACGCAGACTCTGGGCATCTTCCGTCCATTGAAACTTGCACCCGAACAGAAGAGGATGGGGCTACGCTGACCTGGAATTTAGTTGCCGGAGGAAAATTCCTCAAAAAAAAAGCCTCCGGATGGGAATCAGACTGGGATGACCTGGGCCCTTGTTGTGCGTGGATAACTCGAGCAACCGGTTATGATTTAGATGGAATTTGGGAAACTCTCTGTGTGTTTTGATGCCAGTTTGGAAGGACTTTCATTTTTCTCCTGGATTCTATTCTTCAAAGCTTGAAGACAGCAGCCTCCGTGTTCCTGCGAGGCGACTGCCAAACATTAATCTTTAGCCTTCTTTCTGCTATTCCCAGCTTGCTGGAGTGGTGAGGGGTGACCAGTTGGAGAGCAACACTGACCTGGTTTCCATGTTCGAGGCTGTGACCACTCACTACCTTGTGCTTCACTAACTGCCGAGCAAATTTGTCTTAGTATTGGGACCGTTTGAGGATTCTGCTCAGTGTTTGTGTATATGGTTCCTGACTGTGAAAATGGCACCAAACCATCTTCTGGCACCCACTGTGCCACAAGAGAAACTGCCAATGAGGGCAAGAGCCATTTGGATGGGGGTTGGGAAGAGAATCAATCTGATAGGTATCCATTAATTACTGGACACACATTGGGCAGTTTAGGCACAAGGTTGATTGGTAACAGCTTCGGAAGCTTTGGGATTTGTGTGGGTCTGATCTTCCCGGCTCTGGTGTGCTTGGGATTTGGGGATTTCCGATGGTGGTTTTCTGCCCTGGTGCTGCGTGTGGTTAACAGTCGTTTGCTGCCGTTACCATGGGTCTCGACCCGTTTCCGAAGCAGAGATTCCGAAAATTTGGATGTATTGGGCCCCATTCGTCATGTGGTTATGAGGCTTTGATAATATAAGCAAAGACTTGTTACACATCTGATCCCATTCAGTTGGGGAGTGGGGAGGGGGGAGAGAGCCTGATTGGCATAATCGTCTTTTTACTCTGCTTCGGGGTGAGCGAGACTGAGGGGAACAGCAACGCAGAGATAGGACGATAAGTCAGACTGGTGACTGATGGCCTCTTTCTCTCCCCCACCCCCACCGCACTTCTCTCCCCCACCCCCACCGCACTTCTCTCCCCCGCAGGTGGAGGAACGGTCGAAGCTGAACCGGCAGAGCTCGCCCTCCATGCAGCACAAGCTGGGCAGCCGTGCCTCGGACCCCAGCATGCCCCCTCGCTCCGAGTCCTTCAGCAGTGGAGGGGTGCAGGCTGCCCGCACACCCCCGATGCACAGGCCCGTTGAGCCCCAGGTAGCGGAGTCAAAGGTTCCTGAACCTCTTCACTTGCTCCACTTGTGGGGGGTGGGGTGTTTGGGGAGGTCCACAGTACACTTTGGTCTCACATTCTCCTTGTGAAAACTTACCAGACAGCGATATCAATGGCAAGCCATGCATGGAAATCTCAGCTGCATTTGAATATTCTTAAGCATTATGATGGTTTTTCTAATGTGTCAGACACCCGACTGGCCAAAAAAATATATTTATCCTTATGCCACAAGTCTGGGTGGGGGTTAAGAGGTGTAGGGGATGTCTTTGCAGCTAATTTTTCATGGAGCAAAAATCCCCTCAGTCTTCGTCTGTGAAGATTGTTTCTTCCTTAAAAACAAACGTGCTGGTGGCAAAATTGTGGAAAACCCTTAAAATTCAGTATTTATTTGGAACTCTGAAATACTGTCACTGAGGCTGAGCGGAATTTCTGGCTCTGGTCCGAACCAGGCAAATGGTGACTTTGCACAGCAGGTGGCTTGGGTGCTGAATGCTCCAGTGATTTGATTAATGGGGGGGGAGGGGGGAAGGTTGACCTGGTGGAGGGGAGAGGTTGACCTTGGGGTGGGGGGTTGATCTGGGGGAGGGGGTGACTGTTCACATGGCAATGAGGAGCTTCAGGAGCTGAGAGGTGACTGACTGTTGTGCTTTTGCAGGTCCAGGTGGCTCACTTGGTCCCACTGAAACCCCACAGCACCTCCATGACGGCCTCCCAGTCCCTGCACGAACAGCCCACCAAGAGCATGTCTGGGGCCTTCCACTCCCAGGAAGGGCTCCCGGCACATCGAGCGGAAATGCCTCGGCAGAACTCCGACCCCACATCCGAGACCCCACCACTCCCGCCCCGCACCGGAGCCAGAGAAGAGAAGTATGCAGGAGGTGCCTGGTTCCGCCAGGAAGAGTCCATCCCACCCAAGGTACGAGAACAATCTTTGGACTCCTTTTCTTTCTCTCTTTTTTCCCCCTTTCTCCTGCTTTCTCTCTTCCGTGTTTTTCCCCTCTCTCCTTTGCTCTTTTGTCGCTCTCTGTCTATCTCTCTCCCTCTCTCTCGCTCTCTGTGTATTTCTCTCTCTTTCAGCACCCAGAAGTCTAAACCCTCAGGTGCCTATACACTAGGTCCTGGTCAACCTCCTACTCCCTCCCTCCCGCATCAGTACCTGAGAGGTGGCGGTGTGAGCTGTAGTGTCCTCTGGTGGTGAGCGAGGTCCTCGGTGCACACATGGGGTGAACGAGTCATTGTTGGAATCCAAGCCACAGACTCGCCTCCCACTCGGTGACATTTCCGAGTTGATTAAAATCAACCGTCTATACGGGATAAATTTGCCCCATTTCATCAACTTCAATGTGCTAATTGTCACACTGAATCTCTTATAAAATGTCACACATGTTCCCCCAGAATGTGTTTATCTTGCTCTCTCGCTCTGCCTCCCCCCCACCCCTCCCGTTGCCTGGGGGGGAGCTTGGCTGCACTCTGACTCCATCAACCTCTGATACTTTGGTCAAGTTGTTGTTCTTAGTCTGTCAAAGTGTGTGTGTGTGTGGGGGGGGTGTGGTTGTTGTCTGTGAGGGTGGGTGGTGTGGTGTGTGTGTGTGTGGGGGGGTGTGTGGTTGTCTGTGTCTGTGTGTGTGGGGTGGGTGGTGGGATGTAACATCTTGGTTGGTAACTGACCTGGTTCTGTCTGCAGGTACCTCAGCGGACGACGTCCATATCGCCGGCTCTGGGGCGGAAAAACTCTCCCGGGAACGGAGGCGGTCTGGCCAACCGGCCTAGCACCCAGCTCCTGAGAGTCAGGTACCATCACCCCCTCCATCGGCCTCACACTCACCCACCGCACCACCACCCCAGCCTTGTCTTGGTGTCACCGTGTCTCAGCTGGACTATGGTGTGACCGCTTTCCCCTCAGTCACTGTGCCCTCTCTCTCTCTCTTTCTCTCTCCCCTCAGTCACTGTGCCCACACTCTCTCTCTCTCCCCTCAGTCACTGTGCCCACTCTCTCTCTCTCTCTCTCTCTCTCCCCTCAGTCACTGTGCCCACACTCTCTCTCTCTCTCTCTCTCCCCTCAGTCACTGTGCCCACTCTCTCTCTCTCTCTCTCTCTCTCTCCCCTCAGTCACTGTGCCCACATTCTCTCTCTCTCTCTCTCCCCTCAGTCACTGTGCCCTCTCTCTCTCTCTCTCTCTCCCCCCTCAGTCACTGTGCCCACTCTCTGTCTCTCTCTCTCTCTCTCCCCTCAGTCACTGTGCCCACTCTCTCTCTCTCTCTCTCTCTCCCCTCAGTCACTGTGCCCACACTCTGTCTCTCTCTCTCTCTCTCCCCTCAGTCACTGTGCCCACTCTCTGTCTCTCTCTCTCTCTCTCCCCTCAGTCACTGTGCCCGCTCTCTGTCTCTCTCTCTCTCTCTCTCTCCCCTCAGTCACTGTGCCCACACTCTCTCTCTCTCTCTCTCTCTCTCTCCCCTCAGTCACTGTGCCCTCTCTCTCTCTCTCTCTCCCCCCTCAGTCACTGTGCCCACTCTCTGTCTCTCTCTCTCTCTCTCCCCTCAGTCACTGTGCCCGCTCTCTGTCTCTCTCTCTCTCTCCCCTCAGTCACTGTGCCCACACTCTTTCTCCCCTCAGTCACTGTGCCCACACTCTCTCTCTCTTTCTCCCCTCAGTCACTGTGCCCACACTCTCTCTCTCTTTCTCCCCTCAGTCACTGTGCCCACACTCTCTCTCTCTCTTCCCCTCAGTCACTGTGCCCACACTCTCTCTCTCTCTCTCCCCTCAGTCACTGTGCCCACACTCTCTCTCTCTCTTCCCCTCAGTCACTGTGCCCACACTCTCTCTCTCTCTCTCCCCTCAGTCACTGTGCCCACACTCTCTCTCTCTCTTCCCCTCAGTCACTGTGCCCACACTCTCTCTCCCCTCAGTCACTGTGCCCACACTCTCTCTCTCTCTCTCCCCTCAGTCACTGTGCCCACACTCACTCTCTCTCTTCCCCTCAGTCACTGTGCCCACACTCTCTCTCTCTCTCCCCTCAGTCACTGTGCCCACACTCTCTCTCTCTCTCCCCTCAGTCACTGTGCCCACACTCTCTCTCTCCCTGCAGTAACCCTGACCTGCACAAGAACGAGAATCTGCTGGACAACCCGCTGCACAGAACCAGCAGCTCCAGCACATCAAGCTCCAGCTCCCAGCCCGGCTCCCAGCCCGGCTCCCAGCCCAGCTCCGAGCCCAGCTCCCAGCCCGGCTCGAGTGAACGCAACCGCATCCGAGGTAAGAGCAGATGTGGAGGACGAGGCATCGAGTGAGCTGTCAATGTGTGTCTCAGGGCAAGGGAGCATAATAGATGACGGCCCACCCACTTTTTTTGCTGTACACTGGCTAACGTGTCAATCCCATTTTCCCTGCCTTTTCCATCTGACTTCCAAACGTCTGCAATAACTCTATGGGGAATGGAGTTAGAGTAGAGAACTCCAGTGGGGGAGCGAGCCCCAGCACAGCCACGATGGGGAGAGAGAGAGAGAGCAGGGAATGGGGTTAGAGTAGAGAGCTCCAGTGGGGGAGCGAGCCCCAGCACAGACACACTGTGTGATTGTCCAGTGATTAGGACTGAATTAAATGAAGAGTTTACATCTCCTCTTAATTTCTTACAGGAACCACAAAGCCAGAAGCTTCTCCTGTGCTGTACCATGAGGGCTCTCGAATAAAACAGGACGAGGCTCGAGACCTGACCCGACCCAGCAGACCGGCTGTAAGTCTTCCCGAGGTAGCTGCCCCCCACCCCCACCCACCCCCCTCCACCACCCACCCCCCGCGTGCTCTCTATATTCGAGGCCTGGAATTTTCCACCAGGTCTCATCTTGCTACACCATTTTATCATTTTGGGGTCCTGTAGCTCAGTGGTTACAGCACTTGCCTCACAAGTGAGAGGACCTGAGTTCCATTCCCGGGCAGGGCAGGGCCGGGCGAAACCTTCGGCAAGTTTCCTTACTCCAACGCCTCTGTTTACCAGGAGTAAGTAGGAACCCAGTCGTTAGTTGATCTGGGGGAGGAGAATCACTTTTCTGGGGGAAATGATCCCTTCATCAAAAGAAAGTTAATTTGGTTACTAATCCACAACTGTTTGTGGGACACTCCTGAACGCAATTGGCTGCTGCGTTCTGCTCACAAAATATACAGTCAATTTGCTTTACAGTGTATCCTGTGAGGCGGTTTCAGACATATGAAAGATGTGCTAAGGTGCTATTTCAAATGCAAGGATTGTTATTGTTGTACAAGTTCCACACATTAAATGCAGAGTTTCTGACAATGTGTAGTTAGTTGGCGAAATGTTTTGCCTGATACTAAACTATAACAATAATAATAATCTTTCCATCGATCAAGTGGAATTTCAGGCCTCTCACAATCTTATTTTTACACTTATCTTTGCTCTTTGTTTGATCTTCTCCCCCGCTCCCACCTGCCCGCACACAGCTGCAGTTTTCTATCTCTAGTTTCTCTGAATATCCGGGCTCACAGATCAACCTGATCTTACACTGAAAGGTTTACAGCTGACATGCCCACTGACACTGCTCATTGTTCGGGTCAGTACTTGGAGTCCTGTAGCTCAGTGGTTAGAGAACTCACCTGACGAGTGAGAGGACCTGGGTTTGATTCCCGGGCAAGGTGAAACGTTGGGCAAGTTTCCTTACTCCATCCGCCTCTGTTCACCAAGCAGTAAGTAGGAACCCGGTTGTTATTTGATTGGCAGATAGCTTTTCCGGGGGTAATAATCCCTTCAAAATAAATTTTCAAATGATTTGATCACTCAATCCACGACTGTTTGTGGGACGCTGCTGTGCGCAATTGGCTGCTGCTTTAAGCCCACAAAATATACAATCAATTCACTTTACAGTGTATCCTGACAAGCGCTTTGAGATGTCACAAAGACATGATAAGGCATTGTATGAAATGCAACGATTATTATTATTATTATTATTATTAGCATTTGTGCAGTACACACTGCTGGCCAGCAGGGGGCACTCGCACATCAATGACCATCAGTGCGAAGATTCAGTTGAACTTTCATGCTTCCGAGGTTTATGAATAGTAAAATAAATTCAAGTGCGCAACATAACTAACATTTTTTTTTCCCGTGCATTTAATGGACTAACCTTTCTATTTTCTCTCTAACTACTTCCTCCTGGGTTGCCTCTGGCTTGGTGCATTCCCTCTGGCTGCTGACTAATCCTGCCTTCCCTCTCAGAGTTATAAGAAAGCGATAGACGAGGTTAGTGGCTGGTTTGCAGGACAGAAGCGTGAGGTGCGGAGGGGCAGGTGTGGGTGGCAAGAGTCTCCAATAGCTGGTGTCAGGGATCGGGTTGGTCACTCAATCCACAACTGTTTGTGGGACGCTGCTGTGCGCAGTAGGCTGCTACGTTTCGTCCACAGTCAATTCACTTTACAGTATATTCTGTGAAGCGCTTTGAGATGTCTCAAAGATGTGAAAAGCGCGACATCAAATTCAAGGATAATTATTATTGTTATTATAACAGAATACGGTTAAAGCTCTAGATGGTTATGGTTAGATCCTCTGCTGGAATCTGTCCTTCTCTACTGAGGGCCACAGCTTAGCCCGGCTGGTTGGCTGGTCAGGAGTTTGTGGGTTCAAACCCTATTCTGACCTCCCAGTAAACGCTGATGCTTTGCTCCAGTGCAGTGTGGTGGGGGTGGGGGTGTTGCATTGTCGCAGGGGCCGTCCTTCGGGTGTGACATCCCGTCTGTGCCCTGTTCAGGCTGATGATAAAGACCCTTTGACTGTATTGGAGAGAAGGGAGTTTCTTCCCGGTGTCCTGGCTGACAATCCTCCCTGTCCCCACCCCCAATAAAATTGGTCATTCGCCTCCTGATTGTTGATCCCCAATTCTGCTGTCACGTTCGCAGACAAATACACAGTCACTGCGCTTCACATCAATACCCCGCAAAGCGCTTTGAGTTGTTCCACCTTCTATGTGATCACAGGCACAGATTATTATTAGATTATTATTAGTAGTAACCCTGATTAGATACAGCTCAATTTTCAACCGGTTTCTTTCTCCCTCTCCCCCCGCCATACCCCCACCCCCCCACGACACCCGACCCTCTCCCTCTGACCACGTGATGACTCACCGGTCACCGTGCTATAGGGGGAAATGGTAAGGCTCGAGCACTCGCAATGCTGGCTTCAATGTCTGCATGTTTCATGTGTGGGCACAGTGGTCTAAACCATTCCAACAAGGCTGCCTTTGCTTTGCCCCCTCCTCCTTCCAATGCTGCCTCGTTTCTCCCCCTCCCCCTCCCCCCTGCCCCCCCCCCCCGCAGAGCTGAATCTTGCACGAGGCTTTTCCATGCAATTACTCGGCTTCTCTGCAGTTTCCATGGTTCCACATCGCCTGCCTCCACAGCCGCTCCAGTTCCATTTGCTTTGGGTTGGGTGGTGAAGGGAGTGTGAGTGGGGGGAGGGGCCTGGTGGTGGGGGGAGGGGCCTGGTGGTGGGGGGAGGGGCCTGGCGGTGGGGGGAGGGGCCTGGCGGTGGGGGAGGGGCCTGGCGGTGGGGGGAGGGGCCTGGCGGTGGGGGAGGGGCCTGGTGGTGGGGGAGGGGCCTGGTGGTGGGGGGAGGGGCCTGGTGGTGTTCCTCCTGGCTGTAGTTCTGACCCCAACCAATTGGTGCTCCCAGTTCAAGCCGTGACACGGGCACTGAGCCCTGGGCGCTTCGGTGAACCCGGAGGTGACTTGGCATCAGTCTCTCCCTCACTTTGGATGCCTCACACTGGGACCAGCCAGGTTTTAGTTTAGGGTCAACCCCCGGGGTTGGGAGGGTGGGGGTGGTGGGGAGGCGGACAGAGGAGGTCGTTGGAAACTTCTCTCTGTTAGAAACGCTCTGCAGCTCAGGGTATGGCGTTTGTCTTGAGCTTTGCTCCAGCCACTCTGTGCCCTGTCCACAACTGTCACATCTGTGCTGTTAGCTTCACAATGTAATGCACTCGGGTGTATCTGAGATGTATTTATTTGAGACGCACCTTTTCCTTTGAAAACATGATTACATTTCCCCCTCTCTCTCCCCCACTCTCCCCCTCTCTCTGTTTTCTTTGATGCTCCCCAGGATTTGACGGCTTTGGCCAAAGAGCTACGTGAGCTGCGGATCGAGGAGGCTGCCCGACCGCCGATCAAAGTCACCGATTACTCTTCGTCCAGTGAAGATTCTGAGAGCAGCGAGGAAGAGGAGGAGGAGGAAGATGCGGAGAACGGGACCCAGGACGGCACGGTGCCAGTCAGCGACATTCCCAGGATAATGTAAGGGAAGCTTTTTCCAACGTCCGTCCGCCGCCTATGGGGAGGGTGAAGGGCAGATGGTAGTTAGAGAAATGGAGTGGTTTTCCCTGGAGGGGCATCCAGTGAGATGGGGGGAATCCAGTATGTGTGTGTGTGGGGGATGGAGTGGGAGGGAGGAGTGGGATCCAATGGAGGGTTGGGGGGAGGGAGTCCAGTGGGTGATGTAGGAGGCACAGGGAGATTGTAGGGAGTGGGATTAGAGCACCTTTGGTGTTGATAGCACTGTCTGGTAAACTTTCCCGCTGCTTGCCCTGCTATGACCCCCTCACTCTAACTGATAGGGCATTGGCTTGAGAGATAACGAGGTTCAGTCTGAATGAGTGCCTCTTTTTCTCTCCCCCTTCCCCCCCCCCCCCAGACCGACAGTCCCTGGCAGCAGTGAGCAGGAGTTGAACCTGTTGGGGGTTCATGGCCATGAGAGATCGTTGTCATCCGATCTCTATAGTAACCTGTCGGGAGACGGAACCCTGATTATCCGAGAGGTATGTCTGTTCACAATGTTTTAGGAACCTGTGGTGCTCTGAGTTCTACCCGCTCTCAGCCCTCAGACCACTTGTTCTTTTGACCTTGAATTTCAAGGTGATTCAATGGTTTGTGAAACATTCTGAGATTGCATGTGAATTCGGATCTCCGCAGCTCTCAAAAAGAACTTAATTTGAGTCAATTTGACATCGTTCCCAAAATGCTGCAGATAATGTCTTAAATTTTACAGTGATGATCTCAGGGCAAAGATCAGGTGAATTTCAGGTTTGTGGGGGGGCGGTGGAGTGGGGGAATGGGGAATATAAGTGTTTCCCCAAGTGCTTCCTGACATTGCTTCCTTCGATAAACACCGGATAAGTTTCTCGTTGAGAACAACTCGTTCCCAGTCTGAACCAGTTTCACCCCCTCCAGCTTCTTCCCTTTAAGCAGGAAGTCACAAGCTATGGGTTCAACGGAGCTCGGACATCAACAGTGCTTTGGCTCCAAACGTGTCCGGCTTGCTGGCTGGGATGGGAGAGGGCGGCTTTTTGGTCAGCCGGGTGTCTAACGCATGCGGAACCCCATCACCATGATCAGCCGGATGTTTGATACACACTGAAACTCCTCGCTGTGGTCAGCCGGGTGTCAGAAACATGTGGCAACCCAGCACCGTGCTCAAGAGTCTCCAAACCAGACTGGGAATGCCCTACATGTTTTACATTTACACGTTGGAAATCTCCCCATCTCAAGAAGGGAATGCACACTTTCTCTCTCTCTCTCTCCCCAGAGAGATGCACGCTACTTACCGAATTCCAGAGAGTATTAGGTGCAGATTGCGTGTCGGGTGACAGTTTTGCCGAGGTCAAGGGCTAAATTACTGAGGTTGTGAACCAGGATTGAAATCGCAGCTGAATCCAGCGCTGGAGTGAAATTCCCAGGATTCAGCGCGATGCATGTCCATTCATCAGCAGGATTGGATATTTCTAAATCGTGTTTCCTGGGGTTGTGACTCAGCCGTCGCCCCTGTCCTCTCCCAGAGGAATAATGGAATGATCCTTCACCCTCTTGCACCTCCACGGCCTTTCAGCATCTGTCCAGTTCCCTCCCTATGTTACGTCAGCCCCACCCCATCACTCCCAGATCTTCCTGTTGGTACTGACTGAGGCATGTTTCTGTCAGGGGCCCTTATTGAGGGAAGTCTCACTGCACTGATACCTCAGCATCTCTCTGTATCTCACTCTGTCTCGTTCTCTCTAGCTCTCTCTCTCTCTCTCTCTGCAATCTCTATCCATCACCTCAAGAATTCCCAATCTCCACATTGACTTTCTCCCCCACCCTCCCTGCCCACATCCTCCCCACCTCTCGTCCTCTGATGAGCACCTGCCCATTGCCGAGCTGAGCCACACTGCCTGTCCACCTCTCTGTCTCTGTCTATCTCTCTGTCTCTGTGTCTCTGCAGACGTCTGGTGATAAAACGCGGAGCAGTCACGCTGACAGTAACGGCTTTGCCGGACACATCAATCTGCCCGATCTAGTGCAGCAAAACCACTCTCCTGTCACTACACCGACTGAGGTAATGGGACGGATTATGTCTCAACTCGCTCAAGACCTGGACTCGGCGGCTGGGGTAGGTGGTGGGGCCTTTAGGGCCGAGTAAGGAGGCCATTCAGCCCATCGACCCTGATCCACCATTTGATTTAGATCTGGGCAGGTATTTTAATCCCCATTTTCCAGCCCCTTCCCCGCATCCCTCCATCCCCGAGTCTCTCCTTCTCGCTCAGCCCAATCCTTTCTGCCTCTCTGTGTGACAAAAGGTTTCTGATCTCACTTCTAACCTTACGCTCTAATTTCTTAGCCCCCCCCCACCCCACCCCCTCCATCTTCTGAGGTTAGTCAACTGTTTCCAAGCCTCAGTCAGATCGCCTGGTCCCCACCTCTCCCCACATCGGAAACCACAAACCTTCATGACCCACATTGAGCGGATAATCAGCCTCTCTCAGGAGACCAGGATTTTCTATTGTTGCTGTTGTCTTTCCACACCCCCCCCCACCCGGCCACCTTGTCATAGGCAGCTCTGTGCCATGTTGCTGGACGGAGCAATCTGGGGAGTGAAATTTGCCATGTTTCAGAAATAATTCCTTGTGATGATTATCGTATGAAACGTAGCACATTTGACCCCTCCACCTCCCCCTGCCAAAGCTGCGAGTGTGTGCATGTTGGGCTCCCCCCTCACCCAGTGACTTTGCTTGGTTGACAGTTGAGAGCAATCCATTGCTGGATAGTCCGTGGCTTCCCCGTCTCTGGAGGCTGGACACACACAGTGCGGTTAGGAGAATGTTGGGCAGAAAAATGCGATTTGCGTTGGGATAATTATCACATGGTGAAATAGCAGTTTGACCAGTTGGTGACTTTTGGATAGTTTTCTGCATTGCGCAAACTACCATCGCTGGGTGCAATTTTCACCCCTTAAATGCAGTTTTCTTGGGGAAACGGGTAGGAAAGTGGCTCAGAAAGAGACAGAAATTGGATTTTTTTACTCTTATCCCGTCAGCACATTGTCCCTTGTCTAAGAGCTTCACGGGTAATTACTCAGGAATGTAGTGAGTGTTTAGCATAGGCAAACGTGGTAGATGTGAGGTGAGTGACCAGATTATCTCTGGGATCATCGGCCTGGACACCGGGAGACACTTCCTACTCTTTTCCAATAATGTTGGACATCAAAAGAACAACAAATAACATTTACACAGTGCCTTTCAGGTCAGGAGGATGTCCCAAGGCGTTGGACAGTTTAGGGTTTGCCCCCGAGCTGGGGGTTTGGTATCGGGGGGGCTGTAGGCAGGGAGGGTGGGGAGGAGAGGGTGACCAAATGTGCAGTCAAAGAGGAAGTTCTTGAGACGGGCCTTAAAAGAGGAGTCGATTCAACGTCCATCTGAGCAGCGTAGACAGGACCCTCAGTAATTGCCTGTAAAGTGCTTTGAGAAATGTGAACATCATAAAGTGTACAAAAATGCAAATTTCTGTGTTGTTCTGTCCATATCTTTTTCTCTTTGTTTCTCTGTCTCTCTCTCTCTCTCCTCGTTTTACTAACCAACTGATGAAGATTCCCGGAGTCTAACTTTCGATATTTCCTAACGGGATTCTGACACAAACTGAGGGGTGTGAACAGGGAATCTCCCTCGACACTCGGACCTGGGGTGGGGGTTGGGTGGGTGGTGATTCCGTTCTGATATTATGTAGATCCAGAACGACGGGAATTCTAATGCAATTTCTTATCAAGAAATACTGCAAATTAGAACTGTGGACTTGTGGCTGGCTCCTGGTTCTCCCCCTACCCAACCCCATCCCCCGCCGTGATCACCTGGCTGTCCCAGAAACTCTAATGGGAATCTCTCTGTCTTACAGTTTGGACGGGGCACGGGCACCAAATCCTCCTTCACTCCCTTCGTGGACCCCAGAGTGTTTCAGACGTCACCCACTGGCAGTGAGGAGGAGCTGTCGGCAGCAGGTGAGCACCATTGTGGAGTCCTGTGGCTCAGTGGTTAGAGCACTCGCCTTGCAAGCCAGAGGACCTGGGTTCGATTCCTGGGCAGAGTGAAACTTTGGGCAAGTTTCCTTATTCCACACATCTCTCTTTACCAGCAGTAAGTAGGAACCCAGTTGTTAGTCGATTAGCAGATTGCTTTTCGGGAGTAATAATCCCTCCAAAAAAAATAAATAATTTTGGTCACTCAATCACGACTGTTTGTGGGACACTGCTATGAACAATTGGCTGCCATGTCTCGCCAATAAAATACAAAGTCACTACATGAACTTGTGTTGAGGTTTTTGGGGCCCAGGCACAGATCCTCACTGCGTTCTTCAGAGCGATGACCAACAACTATCCTGTGAAGTGCTTTGTGATAAGGCGCTATATCAAATCCGAGGTTGTTATTATTATAAATCATGTTGATGCTCTGACACGTTACACGCTCTGGTTCTGCCTCTTGCAGTCATGTTCTCCACTGAAGTGCTGCGTCAGGAACAGGCCAAGCTCAACGAGGCTCGTAAGATCTCCGTGGTGAACGTGAACCCCACCAACATCCGCCCACACAGTGACACGCCTGAGATCCGCAAGTACAAGAAACGCTTCAATTCCGAGATCCTGTGTGCCGCACTCTGGGGTGAGACGTCACCTTTATTTTGCCTCCCACCGTCCCACCCCCAGGGACATCCTCCACCTGTTTTTATTTTTGAAAAAAACAAATTTTTAATGGATAAAATTTCGGTCTGTTATTAAATAAATTTTTTTAACTACAGAAATGGCTGATTGGATGGGTCGTCATGAGGTCACTTCCTGTGGAGGATTGATATGCAGGAAGTGACATCCGCTGTGACCTTGTGACCTACAAGTCGGCTATTTACTTTTGAAACCTTGTAAAATTGACCTTAAAAAATCTTTTTTCGGAATACGGCAAACATCATAGAACATTGAGACGCTGATATTTTTAAAATCAATTTCCACTGACCCCGAGTTAAATGGAGCAAACCATGTCATAATTTGATGTATTTCCCACACCCTACCTACTCCACCATCAGCAGTTGGACCTTAAGCCTTTCTCCCCTCCTCCCTCTGGAAATTCTTCCCACAGACCCATTGCCTCACCCCCCCCCCACCTCTCGCCTCCTTCAAGGTCTGCCTCAAGATCCTCCTCTTCGACCTTGGCTTCGGTCACCCTTGTACCCCCACCCTCCCTGCCCTCCACTCCTCCTGATCCCAATCCCCAGCTCGGGTGCAAATCCTTGACTGTCCAGTGCCTTGGGACGTCCTCCCGACGTATATAAATGTAATTTGTTGTTGTTGTTGTGTAATATGGAGACGCTCTCTCTTCTTGGCAATCTGCTGCTCTAGGGGTCAACCTGCTGGTGGGGACTGAGAATGGTTTGATGCTGTTGGACAGGAGTGGCCAAGGGAAGGTCTACAACCTCATCAATCGCCGACGCTTCCACCAGATGGACGTGCTGGAAGGACTCAATATCTTGGTCACCATCTCCGGTGAGGGTGCTTCCCTTGCGGTGAGACGGACAAAGAACTTTGCCCAGGATTTATTATTTGGTTGGGCCGGGTTTGGCGGTTACCTTGAGACATAAAACTGGCAAATGTCTTCCTAAACCTCCTATCGCGCCAACCCTCCGCACTCTCCCTTTTGCCCTTGTGCTATTTCACCCTTAAACATCAGCTTCTGTTTCCACTGGCAGGTGGGGTGGGTAATCGGCACATAGATTTAAGATAATTGGCAAAAGAACCAGAGGGGAAACAAAGAGAGTATTCTTTACACAAGAAGGTTGTTAGGAACTGGACTGCACTGTCTGAAAGGTTCGGTGGAAACAGATTCAATAACAACTTCAAAAGGGAATTGAATAGATACTCGAAAAGGAGTTATGGGGAGAGTGCGGGGGAATAGGACTGATTGGGTAGCTCTTCCAAACAGCCGACACAGGCACGATGGACTGAATGGCCTCCTTCTGTGCTGTAATAGTCTATAATTCCTGTCCTTTCTTACATGGTGATCAGCACCAACAACCGTTTGCATATAGCATCCGTCATGCAGGATGGTGTCTTGGAGCAACAACAACAAGATTGCATTTATGCAACAAAAACAACAAGATTGCATTTATAGAGCGCCTTTCACATCGGGAGGACGTTTGGTCGGGACCCGAGTCCAGGGGGGAAATGGTCAAGGTGAGGGGAGGGAAGGGAGGGAGCGAGGAGGGGGGAAATGGTCAGGGTGAGGGGAGGGAAGGGAGGGAGCGAGGAGGGGGGGAATGGTCAGGGTGAGAGGAGGGGAGAGAGGAGGGGGTAGAGAGTCGAGAGGGGAGCTGAAGGCACGGACGAAGAGAAAGGTCTTGAGACCGGCCTTGAAGGAGGAAAGGGAGGAAGCGGCGAAGGCACTGGGGGATGGAGTTCCAGAGCCTGGGGGCTGAGAGGCTGAAGGCCTGGCCACCGATGGTAGGGCGGTTGGGGCGGGGGATGTGGAGCAGACCGGAGCAAGAGAAACGGAGGGTATGGGCAGGTAAGTAGGGGGATAGTAGGTCGGAGAGGTAGGAGGGAGCGAGGCCGTGAATGGCCTTGTAGGTGAGGATGAGGATCTTGAATTCGATCCTCTGGGGGATGGGGAGCCAGTGGAGGCGAGCGAGGGCGAGGGTGGGAGTGATGTGGTCGCGAAGCCTGGTGCGGGACAGTACACGAACTGCAGAGTTCTGAATGAGCGCCGAGAGGGGAGCTAAAGGCACGGTTGAAGAGAAAGGTCTTGAGACCGGCTTTGAAGGAGGAAAGGGAGGAAGCGGTGAAGGCACTGGGGGATGGAGTTCCAGAGCCTCGGGGCTGAGAGGCTGAAGGCCTGGCCACCGATGGTAGGGCGGTTGTGGCAGGGGATGTGGAGCAGACCGGAGCCAGAGGAACGGAGGGTATGGGCAGGTAAGTAGGGGGATAGTAGGTCGGAGAGGTAAGCGGGAGTAAGGCCGTGAATGGCCTTGTAGGTGAGGATGAGGATCTTGAATTCGAAGAGCAGGAAGAGACTTGACCCATTGCGCTGTTAAGTGTGGTTTATTGATGTTGGCCTTCGGCACTACCCCCCCATCACACCCCTCCCCGTGCTGACGATGCCCTGTGTGTGGTTCCCCAGGTAAGAAGAACAAGCTGAGAGTTTACTACCTGTCCTGGCTCAAAAACCGAATCTTGCACAATGACCCCGAGGTGGAGAAGAAGCAGGGCTGGACCACAGTGGGCGACCTGGAGGGATGTGTACACTACAAAGTCGGTACGTCCCCCACACCTCCGCCCAGCGCCCGCCATCGAACACAGGATCTAAATGAATGATTAATTACTGGGTCATAGAACCACCAAACCCCCACCCCACCCCATTACTGGGTAGTCATAGACCACACCACATTCATACATACATACATACACACACACATGATATTGGGGTGTGGGATGTCAGCTCACAGAACAGTTGACTGTCTGGGGACGGGGGTGGAAAGAGAGACACTGTGGCCTTGAGATGTCATGTTGCTAAGAGGAAGTCCTAAATAGCCGCTTCCGCTGGGCGCAAACACAGACAATCTCACTCGCGCACTCATGGTAATGCACTCATTCATACACACACACACTGTCATTCTTGTGCACACACTAGCATACGCGTGTTCTCTTGTGCCCTCTCTCACGCTAACTTGTGCTGGTGTGTGTCCAGTGAAATACGAGAGGATTAAGTTCCTGGTCATCGCTCTGAAGAACGCAGTGGAGATCTACGCCTGGGCCCCTAAACCTTACCACAAGTTCATGGCTTTCAAGGTGCGAAGAGACCAGGAAGTGGGGGTTGGTTGGGGTGGGGGGGGGGCAAGACTCCTTGATTCCTATAAACACTGGAGTCCCATAGTGCGGTGGTTAGAGCGCTCGCCTCGCAAGTGAGAGGGCCCGGGTTCGATTCCCATAAGAGGCGAAACCTTAGGCAAGTTTCCTTACTCCACACGTCTCTGTTCACCGAGCAGTAAGTAGGAACCTGATTGTTAGACGATGGCAGATCGCTTTTCTGTGCATAACAATCACTCCAAAAAAAAATAATAATTTGGTCATTCGGTTCATGACATTTGTGGGATGTGGCTGTGTGCAACTTGCTGCCGCGTTTTGCCCACAAAATACACACAGTCAATTCACTATTATTAATAAGGTATCTGTTGATGTATCACAAACTTGAGCTGACCATCCTCAGTCTCACACACAAAGCTACAGGCTACATTACTATCTTTATAGTAATTCTTCTAATGACATGGTGTGTGTAAAGAGGAAACTTACAATAGGAATTAGTGTCATTATCTAGTAGAATCTGAGTGACGAACATATGTTTTACCCATAAAATACAGTCAATTCACTTTACAGTGTATCCTGTGAAGCGCTTTGAGATGTCTTTAAGATGTGATGAGGCGCTTTATCAAATGCAAAGATTATTATTATTAAAGTAATAAGTGAATAAACTCTGGGCTTCAGTCGTTCACAGAGCTGCAGCACCGGCCGTTGCTGGTGGACCTGACCGTGGAGGAGGGACAGAGGCTGAAGGTTATCTACGGTTCACACACCGGCTTCCACGTCATTGATGTTGATTCCGGAAACGTCTACGATATCTACGTCCCATCACACGTAAGTGAGATCTTCATGACATCTGTCTCATCCTGTGTCCGCGGCTCACGTTTGCTGTGAGATCACGAGAGGTCCGGGGTGAAGAAGACCCTCCGTCCGGCCTATTCCATCCCGGCCCAGAATTCCTGCCCTATCCAGAATTCCGTCTTGTGCTGGCCATTTATTCCGCTGTGTTCCTGAACCATCCCCTTACACCCCTGATAATCCCCTCAGAGAAAAGTGGTCACTCACTTCAAGCTGTTTGTGGGGACGTCGCTGTGCAGTACAAATCAGCTGCCGCGTTCTCCTACAAACATACAGTCACTGCACTTTACAGTGAATCCTGTGAAGCGCTTTGAGATGTTTTGACGATAAGGTGTGGGAAACACATTTCAAGGAATGTTATTCTCAGGGGATAAGAAAGGAACGTCACAAATTACTGTGAGTGTTTGTGTGTGTGTGTGTGTGTGTGTGTGGTGGGGGCGGAGAGAACACAGTCTATTGGGTGGGTAGACAAGTTGCAGAGAGGGGTTTGGAAGTGGGCATGGCATGTAACCATGGCGTGGGGAGCAGGAGCGATGTGTGTGGGAGATATTGGGTTGATAATGTTTTTTGAAGGTTGCTTACTTTCCACCCATCCCACCTATGGTTCTGACCTCAGATTCAGGGGAACATCACTCCTCACGCACTGATCATTCTGCCCAAGACGGACGGGATGGAGATGTTAGTGTGTTATGAGGACGAAGGCGTCTACGTCAACACATACGGCCGCATCACCAAGGACATTGTGCTGCAGTGGGGGGAGATGCCCACAAGTGTCGGTGAGCGACAGTTGCACAAAACATCCGGCCACCCCCCCCCCCCCAACCCCCAGGCCAGCCCGCTGCTCCTCGTGCCATCACCTTTATTATCAATCCCACTGCCTTGCTCTCTCCCCGCACACCCCCACATCCTCTCACTGTCACCGCCACATCCATTCCCTTCTCAACGACTATTGATCCGGCCTCAGCAGCTGCTCATGGGGATAAATTCCAACCCCCGACGAGCCTTTGAGTGACAAGATTGCATCCCCCCAATTCTTCTGCTTGAGAGTATTCCCTCACCATGTGCCACCCCATTCACCAACTCACCAACAAAAGACTCTGGTTTACAAGATCACACAGAAGATTCAGGTGGAGAAGTTTGACCGTCCTCTCATCACAGCCTGAGCTATTTATTTACAGAGTCCTGTAGGGTATTCCATTCCCAGGTGGCAAAACCTTAGGCAAGTTTCCTCATTCCACATACCTCTGTTTACTTGGCGTATCTCCTTACCTGTTTACTTGGCGTATCTCCTGTGGTTCACACTAACTCCACTTTGTCTCCACAAACGGTTTCTCCTACAGCCCCTGCATAATTTTGTGCAAGGTTCCTCAAGGCTCTATCCTTGGTCCCCACCTCTTCAATATCTATATGCTCCCTCTTGGTGACATCATCCACCGACATGGGGTCAATTTCCACATGTATGCGGATGACACCCAACTCTACCTCTCTGCCTCCACCCTTGACTCCAGGACCCACTGCTGTCATAGCAAAATTGAACGTCAACAAGACCGAGGCTCTCCTGATTGGCTCCCATCAGCGCCTTCACACCTCAGGCACTGGCAGCATCACCATCCAAGGATGACTACTTCACATCAGTGAGCCAGTCCAGAACCTTGCTGTCTTGTTTGACCCTCAACTGTCCTTTCTATGCCACATCCGTTCCATGACCCGCGCTGCCTTCCCCCACCTCTGCAACATCGCCCGGCTCCACCACTGTCCCACACCTCAGGCCGCTGAAACCCTCATGCATGTGTTCATCACATCTAGGCTTGACTACGACAAAGTGCTGCTTGTCGGCCTCCCCAACTCCTCCCTCCACAAGATGCAGATCATCCAGGACTCAGCAGCTTGTGTCCTCCTGCACCAGGCTCTGTAACCCCATCACTCACACTCTCGCCCGGCTCCACTCACTCCCATCACCCAGAGGATAGAGTTTAAAATCCTCGTCCTTGCCTTCAAGGACCTCCACTGCCTTGCTCCTTCTCCCTCTGTAATCTGCTAAACTCATATCAATTTGTCCACTCCCTCTGCTCAGCATGTCCCTTGCCCAGCCCAGCCCCACCATCGGCTGTCGAGCCTTCAGCCTCTCTGCCGCTAACCTTTGGAACTTATCTCACATTCCCTTCTCCTTGGGATCCTTTGCCTCCTTCAAGGCATGTCTCAAGACCCTTCTTCGACCGTCCCTTTGGCCACCCTCCTACCCTCCCTGCCCTGCATCCTCCCTGATCCCAGCCCCCAGCTAGGGTCCAAATTCCTGACTGTCCAGTGCCTTGGGATGTCCTCCCGACGTGAAAGGCGCTATACAAATGCAATTTTGTATTGTACCTAGCAGTAAGTGGGAACCCAGTTGTTAATTGCATGCAGCGTTTCACCCACAAAATACATAGTCAATCCACTTTACAATATATTCCATGAAGAGCTTCTGGAGAAAAGTTAAATAGAAATAATAATAATTTGGTGACTCAATCCACAACTGTTTGTGGGTCAGGCGCTGCTGTGCTGCCGCTTTTCACCCACAAAATATTCAGTCAATTCCCTTTACGGTATATTCTGTGAAGCGCTTTGAGACACCTTGAAGAAATGATAAGGCGCTATATCAAGGCAAGGATTATTATTATTATTATTCATTTGTTAACCACTCTCTTTGCTCTCTCCAGCGTACATCCACTCCAGTCAGATCATGGGCTGGGGAGAGAAGGCTATCGAGATCCGATCAGTGGAGACTGGACACTTGGACGGTGTTTTCATGCACAAGAGAGCGCAGCGGTTGAAATTCCTGTGTGAACGGAATGACAAGGTAATGTTTGGATTCCTGTATGTTCATTGCGAACGTTCGCTCATGCTGTCGAGCGGGTTTCCTGTCAGCGTGAGCACAGTTACCCCAACCCAGACAGTCTCCTTAACTGCTTCCCCTGGGCATTCCATGTCCTAATGACTCTTTGGCCTGTGTGCGCACGTGATTATGTCTAACCTCTCACTGTGCTGGGATTTTTAGTGATGATCTCGAATCAATGCCTATAGTTACTGACTCAACAGCAGGTGGGAGAAAGTTTCTCTCGATTGGGTCTCCTCTCATCCGTTGTCTGGTTAATGGAGGTCTCTTCCCGTCAGTAGGGGTCACTTGTGAGGCTCCAGTCCCCAGTAATTCTGCGCTCAATCCTCATGAAGCAGCTAGGACTCGCTGCCCGCCTGTGGCAAACAATCGCTCGCTCCTCCCCATCTGTTTATAATAATAATAATCTCGCTTGCAAGGCGAGCACGCTAACCACTGTGCTATGGGGCTCCACATTTGTGCGACATCTCTCTGTGCTAATTATTTATCGCATTTACTAACAAAATACACACAGTCTCTGTACTTTTCCCGTGTGTAAATCACATGAAGCGCTTTGGAACGTCTCGACGACATGGTGTTTCAGATGGTGTTTTGGACAGCCGGTAACTTTGCCTCTTCCTCGTCTCCAGGTTTTCTTCGCCTCAGTGCGCTCAGGTGGGAGCAGCCAGGTCTTCTTCATGACGCTGAACAGAAACTCCATGATGAACTGGTAGTCTCCAGCCGGCAGCTTGGCTCAGAACTTTAACTCCAGACTTGTGGGATGTTAGCAACTAGAATTTTAACCTTTTAAAAGAACAATAAGAGTGAGTGAGTGAGCGAGCCTTGGACATTAAGGATTTAAGAGGCTGATGCGATGTGACAGGCCTGTGTTCCGTAACTTGAGGTGATTTTTTTTGTCGGTCAGTGTTTTTTGGCGACGGATCTCGGCGGGCCGTGAGAAACGGAGGAAATCAGGAAGAAGCTTTGTGTCCAGATGAGCCGTGGCTGGGCTCCGGCTTCCCAGTGGGAAACGTGACGTCAACATTCTGAGCCGTGGATTGCGAGGTTCATGGGTGCAGAGATCGGGTGGGGGGGGGAGGGGGGTCCTGCTGACGACCTCCGCCACGACCTGCTGAACTTCACTTTTGTTGCATTTCCTTTTGTGCTGGATTCCTTGTTAAACGTGGGGGGTGGGGGGGTGGGGGGTTGGGGGGGGTGCGGCGGAGGGAGTGGGGAGGAGAGGCTGAGATGATCACTCCTGACCACGCACGCGATGGATGTAGATTTTAAGGGGAGACAAAAGACGTGTTTTTTTTAAAAAAATGACTTGTACTAACATTATAAATGGTGGAGGAAGCACAAGGCAATGTGGGGGCTGTGGTGGTGTGCGTGCGGTGTGGGGGGGGGGGGGGAGCAGGGCAGCCCCCAGGCTGTGTCAGGTTGCCAGTCCCATTAAACGTCTTGTAATCGTTTCCTGAACCAAATGCCGAAAAATAATATGAAAGTTAGCAAGAGTCACTGGCCTCACAGATTCCTGCGTTCAATGTGTGTGTGGTGGTGGGTTGGGGGGGTGGGGGTCTGAGCCCAGAATTCCCTCTGATCTCGGCATGTGGCCATTTGGCCTTTAGCATATAAGAAGTTGCCGAGTCGAGGATAATCCTTCGATCCCATGGTTTTAATCGGGAAGCCGATTCGGACTTGAAAATAATTAGTAATAATAATTCAGTCACTCAGTCCACGACTGTTTGTGGGACACTGCTGTGTGCAATTGGCTGCCGTGTTTCGCCCACAAAACACACAGTCACTGCACTTCACAGTATATTCTGTAAAGCGCGAGAGACGTCTTGAAGATGTGATAAGGCGCTATATGAAATGCAAGGACTATTGTTATTATTGGTGCGTCCGTTGACCAATGCACTGATATCCGTTTGTTAGAGCGGCTGTTCCAGAGCTGTGGGGGGTGAGGTCAGTGCGGCTGTGGGGGGGTTGTGGGGAGGGAGTAGAGTGGGGGTCAGTGCCACTGGATGACTGCACTGTATTTGGCTGGGATCCAATCTGATTGTCACAATTACTGTTGTTTTTTTTAACCTACCTCGTTTTTAACACGTGTGGTGTGCGTGTGTGTTTGTAGCTGGTTTTATCAGCGATTTCTCGTGTCTGCTGGGAAACTTTTATTTTAACTGCTTTTAGCCACTTAACTTATCCTTTGTTTTTCTCCCCTCAAACTCCAGTTGGTGCTCACCTTTGCCTGCCCCTCTCCCCCACGCTCCTGGTGATGCCCGGTGCACTGATCAGCATTCCCACGGGAAGAGAGTGGTGTGGACAGAGAGGTTGCCCCTGTTTCAGACTGAGGCCAGAGGCTTAAAGGGAGTCATTAAACATGTCTGTTTTTGTGCTGCTGAGGCATGTTAGGCCTTAATCTCTGATGGATAAACAGTTTTCTTTTGTGGGGCAGGAAGTGGGGATGGGGGAGGAGGGGGGCTGAGGGGGTTCTATTTCTTCTCAATTCCCAAAGCTTCCTCTGCCGTAAGCTGTGAGGTTGGCTGGGCAATCTGACCCCAGGGGTGACCTCGCCAGCCTTGTGGTTGGGCCCCGTTGAAAGCCTGGGGTTATTCTGATGGCTCGCTGACCACCAGGGTGCGGGCTTCTCTTTCGAATTCCACTCACACCAAGGTCTAGAAAATCCTCAGCTATGACATCCCAAATTTCCATGTTTCCTACAACTTCTGAGCCAGAATTCAGGAACGTTGACTCAGCCCGGGCAGCAAACACGGGTGGTGGTGGGGGGGCGGTGTTCCCATGGGTGATTCTTTTTGCCCTGGTGATACTTCATTTCCTCCACTCACTTCACTCGATCTCAGTCCCAGTGGGGTGTTGGGTGTCTGACTGTGTGCAAGTGTGAAGGGCAGTCAACCCCATTGACCCAGTGCTCCCTGTCCTCTCACTACCACACAGTGAAGACAGAGCAGCTGAGATTTGGCCTCAATTCTTTTCTCCGAGCACCGGAATCTGCAATCTCTTTCTTCTCTTTTCCCCCCTCCCCTACACTGCAAAGGGGGAGGGGGTGTTTGTTCACTGCTGTAGGTGGGTGAGGGGAGGGTGGGGTATTTATTGCTGTCAGCCGGGTGTGTCCACATGTCTGGGCTGTTGCACATTCTAACCCCCTATTTGTGTGAATTCTCCGCTGAGAACGTTCGAGTTTCCCAGAGTTTGATCGTCTCGATTCAACCTGCATTTCTAATGAGTATTTCTCATCACCATGTTTGATATTTATCTAAAAATGAACAATAAAGTTTGTTTTGGAGGGAACCACATTTCATTCTTTTGTTCTGTGTGTTTGTATTGAAATGTCTGTGCTGGGGCTCGCCGCCCCACTGGAGCTCTCTACTCTAACCCCATTCCCTGCTCTCTCTCTCTCCCCGTGGTGTCTGTGCTGGTGCTCACTCCCCCACTGGAGCTCTCTACTCTAAACCCCATTCCCTGCTCTCTCTCTCTCTCTCCCCATGGTGTCTGTGCTGGGGCTCACTCCCCCACTGGAGCTCTCTACTCTAACCCCATTCCCTGCTCTCTCTCTCTCCCTATCGTGTCTGTGCTGATGCTCGCTCCCCACTCGAGCTTCTACTCTAACCCCATTCCCTGGATGGCCTCTAGCAAAGCTGTGAACCAGCTGGTTGCTGCGATGGCCTCTCTTCCTGGCCAGTGGCTGGGATCAAGTCCTCTAGTGGGTAAGAGGGGACATGTTTAATATCTCTGAGCATTGGGACTGTGACCTGTACACACTGCCCAGCACACATTGCCCAAAGCGTAAATCCCTGGTCATTCAAACCAGCGGCAAGGGGAGCAGATAGCCTGTTGCCACATTGGTGCCCTTGAGAGGGTGTTGCGTGTGGAGACCGGACGGTGTGGGTGGAAGCAGTGTCTTGCATGGAAATGGCTCTAAGCTCTTCACAGGTAACTTCAGTTGCTGGTGAGTGTTAGAACCTGTAGCTTCCTTCCTGGGCTGTAGGTGGCGCACTTTGCCCATGGCTCATGGTTTCCAATATAACGCCCTTGGCTCCGTCCATATATTCCTGACACAGGTTCAACTCCCCGGGTACCAGCACAGGGTGCAATTGGCACCTGCACTTGATTTGAATCTATTAGAGGGAACTTTACTTTGTCTCTAACCCGTGCTGTTAAACTGTGCTGATAGAGAAGGAAGAATGATCAGAATATTTCCACATCACTTTATCTAATAACCTGAATAACTGAATAAACTTATTTATCAGTCGGCCGTGGCTGGGAATGGAGTTTATCCTCACGCTAGTGATGTGGACACATTTTTGGGGGAGATGGGGAGTAAAGTGTAATGTGCACAAAATAATAGAGCCTTTGTAATGGAACACAAAGCTGCATGGCAGCAACCCCGTGTTACAGAAACGGGCAGTGAGCGACCATTAGGTTAGCCTGGGTGTTGCAGTCTCCGAGCGAGTGTGTGTGCGTCCGAGAGCGCTTGCATGCATTTCTTTGTGTGTATGTACGCGTGTGTGTGCATGCGAGTGTGTGAATGTGAGTGTGTGCTAGTGCGTGTGGGTGTGTGCATGCAAAAGCGTGTTTGGATGTGCGTGCGCGAGTGAGAGCATGTGTGTATATGGGAGTCAGTATGTATGGGAGCACACGCTACCCCCCAGCACTGCACTGGAGCATCAGCCTGGACTGTGAGCTCCTAGTGCTGAAGTGGGGTTTCAACCCACAAGCCTCTGACAGCCAATAAACAGGGTCATTTAAGGTATGTATGTTTGGCCTGAATCACCTTCTGTAGCCATCCCTGTGTTGCTCTGCTTTTAATGACGCATTGCTGGTTATTGCTGGTTAGTTATTTATCTGATGACAAAGTGGAATTTTCCTGCGTATCTTTTGAAAGAAAGTAAAGGATTTTCCGAGCCTGGCAATGCTTGCAGAGGTGATGATTTCCCATTGTGTATGGGGGAGTGGGGGAAGAAGGGAGCTGAAATCCCAGATGGTCTCCGAACCCCCCCCAAGTAAAATCACTCGCTCACTTGGTGCTGGTTTGTGGGACGTGGCTGTGCACAAACTGGCTGCTGGGTTCGTCTACAAAAAAAACTTCGGTCACTCAATCCATGATATTTGTGGATCGCTGATGTGCGCATTGGCTGCCACTTTTCGCCCACAACTATACAGTCAATTCACTTTACAGTATATTCTGTGAAGCGCTTTGAGACATCTCGAAGACGTGATAAGGCTCTGTATCAAATGCAAGGATTATTATTACTATGTTGCTGTGCGAAAACTAGCTGCTGCATTCCTCTACACAGTCACTACACTTTGTATTGATTTCTTTGAAGAGCTTTGAGACGTGCTCCCGGCGTGAAAGGCGCTGTGCGAGGTATTTTTAAAAAAAATTGTGTAGGACGTTACTGTGTGCAAACTGGTTGCCACATGTGTCCACAGATACACAGCTCTGACACTGACGGCAATGGTTGTGAAACGCTTTGAGACGCTTTGACACGGCTGTAAGATTGCACATTGTTTTTTCTCCCCCTGAAATTCTACTGAGGCCTTAAAGGGGATGTTTGTGTGAGGGCAGGCTCGGTGGGGTATATTTTTCTATCTGTCTGCAAACTGCGATAGGTCAAGCCACTGACGTAGTCCACAAGGATCTAATCTCCAGCATCAAACACCAAGATGTTTTCCTTTAAACCCCAAAGGTTTGTCCCTGTAGACGGAGAGTAGGCCATCTCTCACAATCTTTTGAATTGCCAAGAAAGCAACTGGGGAAATTGGTAAACACTGTTTGTTCCAGTATTGTCTGCCTCTGGGTTGAGTATTTATCCTTTTGATGTTGCAAGACAGTCAGTGCCCACGGTCTATCAGACTTGTCTGGTGTTGAATTGATCAGTCGCCCTGCCCTGTATATCTAATACATAGAATAATAATCCTTGCATTTGCTATTTTATCGCGTTGTTGAGCCGTCTCAAAGTGCTTCACGGAATATATTGTAAAGTGGATTGACTGTATATTTTGTTGCTGAAATGTGGCAGCCAATTTTTTAGCCTTGTGGTTGGAGAGCTCACCATGCAAACGAGAGGACCCGGGTTCGATTCCCGGTTAGGGCGAAACCTTAGGCAACCTTCCACGCCTCTGTTTACCTAGCAGTAAGCAGTAATCTTAGTCGATTGGCAGAATCATTTTCCAGGGGTAATAATCCCTTCAAAATAAAATAATAATTTGGTCACTCAATCTGACTGTTTGTGAGACACTGCTGCCACGTTTCACCCACAAAATAAACGTTACAGTGCTTTGAGATGCCTCAATGACGTGATAAGGTGCTACATCAAGGATTATTATTATTATCCTTTGAAGCCAGGGTTCCCAGAGGTGCTGTTCACTCTAGCTCCTGGCGTGGATTGGTGGACCTGTGGGCCATCAGGTGATGTAATTTCCTGCATGCGAGTAGTAAGCAGCGTCAAAATCACTCGTGAAGGATGTGAAGTCAGTAACAACTTGCAGCACCCCTCACGTAGGGTAGTGTCCCAGAGTGCTTGACAGTGGCAGAGCACGATGTCGAGCTGGGGGAAGGGAGGAGGTGATCGTAGACACGGTCAAAGATGGTGGTCCTTAAAACGTAGGGTCAGAGTTTGTGGACCCAAATGACCTTGCTGGACCGAAGTCAGCCTGTTACAGTATCTGTGTCTGAGTCTCAAATCAGTCAGATGATGGGATCACAACAACAAAGGCATTTGTTCCATTACACACAGATAGTGTCAGACTTTGACAGATAACGTGTAAATGAACTACAATGAGCACAGATAACGATGTTTCTTTCAACTAACAAGATCAGATCTGATGTCGTCAGAGACGACACAATCACAAGATGACACAAGGGTTCCGAGTGAAGGTGACCTTTCGGCCAATTTATTTTCAGAATTCCCTCCCCCCCTCACCACCCACCACCCCCCACCCCTTGTCATGTTTGACTACTTTTCTTGTTTGACCATAATAATAATAATAATAATCCTTGCATTTGATATAGCGCTTTTCACATCGGGAGGACGTCCCAAAGTGCTTCACAGAACACACTGTAAAGTGAATTGACTGTATATTTGTGGGCGAACGCGGCAGCCAATTGCACACAGCAATGTCCCACAAACAGTCGTAGATTGAAAATGACCAATTTATTATTGTTTTTGGTTTTTGAGGGATTATTATTAGACTCTGTGCGGAGTAAGGAAACTTGCCCGAGGTTTCGCCCTCTGCCTGGAATTGAACTCAGGTCTCTCACTTGCAAAGTGAGTGCTCTAACCACTGAGCTACAGGACTCCACATGGGTGTGCTTAAGAGTATCCAGGCCCCTCTTAGACAACTCTACACCATCTACACATGGAAATAGGAATGGAAACCCTCTCCCTAGAGCTACGAACCCTCTTTGGACAATTCCAGAGAGTTTTAGATGCAGTGGTTAGAGAGCTCCAGTGGTAATAATCCCTTCAAAAAAAATTTGGTCACTCAATCCATGACTATTTATGGAACACTGCTGTGTGCAAATGACTGCCGTGTTTTGCCCACAAAATACCCAGTCAATCCACTTTCAAGTATATTCCATGAAGCGCTTTGAGACGTCTTGAAGACGTGATAAGGCGCTGTATCAAATGCAAGGATTATTATTATTATTATTGTTATTGGACAAGTAACATAGTCAAATTAGTTTAGTATCAGTCCAATAATTTACTCAACTATCAACAAACTGACAAAAACTCTGCATTTAATGCGT